CTCTGTAACACTTTTGAGTAACACTTGAACCAAGCGTAGACGGGGCCATGTTTGAAGAACTGGTTAAATTGCTAGTCTAAAATGACTTAGAGCTAGTTTCATTATCTCTATATGTATTGGGTTTATTAGATTGAGTTAAGGTGAATATATGAGAACGAAATTGTATAGAAATCATTTTATACTTTGGGTATACTTCGGTATTTTTGGCCCGCTCCGTCGGATACGAGGCATACTACTATAGTGCTATAGAGGGGCAGCGATACAAAAAGCAAACTCGCGTTCTCTTTTCTTTCACATAAAGCGGGGGAATTATGAGATGATCTGATCGCACAAAGTGTATCAAATTATAAAATTTTTGCCAATCCATCTAGAGTTGGGTTCAACAAAAGAATTGCCATATACCATCATGATACACAGAAAACAGTCCATGTATCTGGGGTTCCTTACCAACACGGTCTGGTTATGCTACACGTATGTACTACTATGTACCAGTATTTTTTGGATGAGGCTGCTATACCGAATACATACATTCGGTAATACACTAACACATCTGCCTATGTAGACAGCCATACTCTAAATGCAAAATCGAATTACTAGTGCGATCAGACGCTGTAAAATGTCGACTATGCGCTCAACATCAATGCATCTACAATCCTACGAGTCAGCCTTTGATACTTGATCCGTTGGCGAGTTTGAATTGTATGTTGTGTGGTGCAAGGCAGACAGTGGCGGCATCGGGCTGATTTGTGACAATGAGACTAACCACTTGGCACTCTCAGCCTCAACAGATAAATATCCCATTAAAGACTATACAGACCACTAATAATGCTAATAACTGTTGGAATCATGGCTTGAGACATTAAAGAGCCGCTCAATGAACTTTTAGACGTATCTCAAACAACTTTCGTGGCGCCAGGATCTGGGGGCAGATTCGTAAAGGATTACCTACGAACCCTGTAAAGGCCAACATCAATAACATATATTTATTGAGGTACACTCAAAGTCTTGATTAGTACTGGATCCCGGCTTACGGACTGAGATTCTACCTCCCTGTGAACCTATAGCTCCATTCATGTTAGGGCAAACGGGGTTGCCAAAGAAGGTGGCTTCAACATCTTGATAATCCAAGTGAGTAAATTAGTACGGAGTGAGTATAAACCAGCCTTTGATTTGAACAATAATAGTAAAATCTCCGAGTCTCAGGGAACATATTAAAGATCCCTCGTCCAGGCCAGCGTGTAAGCCGGCATAGCGCTAGTGAGCATCCATGTTCCCTGCTCCCCGCAGTCTTTGGAAGTTTTGTTGGTTTTTCCCACATCGTCATTAGCTACCGTTGAATGCACCCAACACGTGGAGGTGGTCAGGAATTGGCCATGATAAGTTATGGACGATGGATCAGCTCATGATAGGACAGACTCGAGCAGGTATTCTCCGCCTTACAGATAGCCCCAAGGTCTCGACCTAAGACAAGCCCACGGGAAAATGAGGCTCACACTAAGCTTCACGGACCTTCGTAACATACAAAAGTACCTTATCTAGAAATGATTCGATTTTTGAGCAGTCGTACTAGGATAATAGGAAGACAATGTATCTCTCTTCATACATAATAGGCCACTGTATGATTGTACACTGTATTAAGTGGATTTACAAAAAGGACATGCAGTAAATAAGAAGTAAGACATGAATGCAAATATATTCGCCGTAAATGCTACGAGATTGGTCTGGTGACCAATTTTGACGCCTAATATAGAAAAGCCAAGAAAAAATAGAGCCCAAGTTGTGTTCCCCCAAACTGCCAATGAAGCGCTCCAATGAGGACAGTATAGGATATGAGTTCCAGCTTGGAGATTTGTTTCCTAGACAAGGTTTTGTGATGTCGCCCACACAAACAAGAACGCCATAACTGCAAATTTAAACAAACCAACGCCGTGTCTCCGATTCCCCATGTTCCCGGCGCTTATAAGACATCCACTTTCACAATATAACATAGAAACAAAAACGGCCAAGCCGAACCATCAAGGGTCAACTCATAGGTTTCACCATTAGGCAATAATATTCGATGTAGCTTTCGGAACCCAGAGGGATTTTGAAAAAACCTCCTGTTCCCAAAAGGCCCATCGTAAATTGCACATATAATCAGAATTCAAGATAAAACGCCGCACATCATGAATGGAGAGAAAGATACCAGCTCAAACATCTCGGCATTCTTGAGTCTTGCGTCTCTTTCCCTTCGGCGGAGGATCGAGCGGGGTACGCTTGTATGTAATCGTGCGGGTCACGACTTGTCTGACACTAACTGCCTTTGTGGTTGCACTTCTCGGTGCCTCAAGATACCGTAGCTTCCAATCTGATGGGGAAAATGGCGATCGAAGAGTGGTCGCACTGCGAGGAAGTGCACTCCATTGTGACGCACTATAGGGACTCGCGCTGTACGGAGTTGCACTGCACGGGGTGGAAGTTCGGGGGGAGTCTTTTGAAGAAAATGGCTTGAGCGACTGGGGAATGCGTAGTCTTCGTAGCGCAGGCGGAGCCTTGGCTGACCTCAAAGTGCGAGGGGAGGGCGGCGGGAGGGAGACGGCTGGCGTTGCAGGCGACTTGAGGGAAGCCCGAACGGAGAGTGCGGGACTTGTTGCAGTTGACGGCTGTGAAATTGGCGACGGGTCGCTTTTTTCCATTGAGAATTTTGGAAAACCACCAGCACTCACCGGACTTGTGAAGACCGGTGTTAAGGCGTTGAGGAAATCGGTATATGCTAGTGGGGGTGTGATAGGTGTTGCGCTTCCATCTTCGCGTTTGATGTCATCGACGGTGAGGGTCTTGGAATCCTTGTGTATTTCCGAAGGGAAGATGAAGGTTTTTGGCGTCTTCAACGGATGCAAATCGGGCTTTGGGGCTGGCATCTTGCTCAATAGGGTATTTCCAAGTCGGAAGAAAAAAGCGCAAAAAGGTTGGCGAAGGCTGCTTCACTTGGGAAGGATGTACTAGTGACGCAAGGACAGAGCGAGAGCGGGTCGCTCACGTCTTGATCAAAGTAAAGCGACAAGACGTCTAAGTATATATAAAGACGAAGGTCAGGATAATGATCAAGAAGACAGAGTCAAAGAGGGAAATATGTAGTAAGTCTTACCAAGAAGCAAAGACTCAGGAGGGCCGAGGAGATCTTTTTCTATATGAGACACGAAAGGACGGTATTGTACAAAACCGTAACAGCTGTACCCGTACTAGACGGTATCAGTCAATACACGGTCGACTAAGTCAAAACGGGTTAGCGTGGCCAATCGCATATTTGGCCCCGAGGGACTCACCAGTCCTGCTGTCGGAAGTTAACAAGCTAACAAAGGGGGCTGAGCAGAATGAATTCGCCCCCAACTGAACTGCAATTTCAACGATGGTTTGGATGAGATATGTATAAGAGTGACCAGCACCTGAAAAATAAAAAGAAAGAAAGAAAGCAAGGTGAAAGATGACCGATGAAAGACAACTGAAAGAAAAGAAAAAGAAGTATAGATGGCTGAAAATCAACCAGGAGGTATACTCGAGTCTCATTATATACACCATCAACCCTAAATAATAACCGCTTCCATAATAAAAAAAAGCCTTGGAATAAAACAAGGGCCGCATTATCGCGCGCCTCCTGAATCAAGAGCGGCAGCCTTCCTCTGCTCCCAAAATATCCTCCACGCGACTGAGGCGTTGACCGGCGGCTTGGTTTCTTCAGCAACCATGCATCTGTGGTATATTGGCTCCCCCCCCTTGTTCGCTACTAAGAGAGCGCGCGGCATTTATGACATGGGCGGCTCGACGCTGTACAATAAATCAGAATTTTGAGGTACCTATAATTGGTTGCGTACTTGTCAAGTCAACTCGGGGTACATGAGCAACCCCAAGGGAAACATAGAAATTGTTTCATCAACCGCTGGGACCAGTAGCTTCAATAATTGTCCAATCATACTATCTCCGGACCAGCGGTTGGTCTGCAGACACCAGCTCTGCAGGGTCTTGTTTACACTAGGCCCGTGATGCTACCCTTCGGAGCACCATCGTACATCATCCAAGATTTAGCTCTTCAGGTGTTTCACTCCACAATAGATTGCTGCAGGACATGGGCCTTGTTTCATGATATAAATTTCGCTCAGATAGAATAGTGAGTAACAGGGAAGCATCGATTTCGAAATTTCTAAGGCCGTGAATTAACGGCAGGAAGCTATTTTTGATTATTTACCGCCAGCTGACCTTATTCTAAGGCTCCTCTGCCGGTCGAAGCTAAAACTAACAGCGAGCGCCTCTCATATCATGAAACAGGGCCATACTGGGAATGCAGGAGCGGTTGGATCGACCATGCTGTCTGTTGGAGTCCGGCGGTTACCCTTGGACAATGTTTATTTTGGTCTTCTGGCACGGGTTTGGATGAAGAGTGCATGTACTATTTAATCTCTGCGCCCCCAGAGGGAATGATGAAGCACAAAGGCACATCCTCGCCCCAACCAAGAAAGAGAGAGCCAACGTTACATATCAAGAGAATGCATGTGTCTACGCAAGATGAATATTCTCAAGGAAGAGCTACAACTTCTGACGGAAAAAGTCTATCCACAATTATCTTGTTTTAAAGTGAGAAGGTTGAAAGGAATGATTGGAAGCTAGTCGAGCTCTAACACCGTTCGAAACGGATAGGAATTGAAGCCGAGAGGATCAAAGTTCATGAAAAAGGTATATTCAATTCAGCCCAGCTTGAACCGAAGGGGAAGTCACAAAAATGCAAAAGAGAGCCGGGGGATATATAATAAATTGCAAAGTCCACACGCCCAAAAACAACATCAAAAACACCGATGCTTTGTCCAACTATGTAGCATAAATGCAATCCCGATCATTCTCATCTAAGATATATGATAGAGCTCAGGGGGTATCACTGAATGACTTTAACGCTTTGACTCCGTGCCATAGAGGTTGTGACTAGCTCTTGCGGCATGTTTAAATCAGAAGATAGCGCCAGCCGTTTCGGTTCATGACATCTCGCCAGTGAACCTGCTGCCTCTTGATTTCTCGCATTCCAGGTGGCGAAAGAGGAACAGACTGGCCAGCATCCTGCCTCGTCTCCGAGGGTTGGTATCCTGCCTCGAGCTCGTTTCCCCCGAAGGGAAGGATGGACTGACAGGATCATCAGATAACCGCCAGTACTCGTTCAACAATTGGTACATGCGACCAATACTTCCCAAGTCAGCAAGATCTCCCAAGGCAGTCACTCGATCATCCAAGACCTGACGGAATGGGCTGGAAGGAGTAGAGAAGGCACCAGCGATGAGAAGTGGCCATACAAGAGAGCGATCAAAGCCAAAAGGTCCCGATGGAACATAAGACATAGCATCTGTCAGTGCATTGACAAGATTAATTGTGCTGGTCTGATTGCGATCGGCTCCAGGGATGAGGCTGCAAAGGTAGATACGGGCGGCAATGCGGAAGATGGCAGTCATCGTTTTTGTCAATGCATCGGGACGAATTGCTCCGGTGCCCGGTGAGTACGGGCTCATTAGAGTTGTATCCGCATCTTCGGTATATTCCAGCTGACTGCCCAAAGCGGCCACGTGTGTGCAAACAGCGATGGAGTCAACGCGGCCCTCCATTTTGAGTGATTCTAGACAGGCAACCTCAGAGATGAGGTACATGATACGGTCATCGCATCCCATGAGTTCCCGGAGACCAGAAGATGTTCCACTCAGGTGTTTAGCACGATAAGAGTGAGCAAACTGGGGTGTTTTTCCAAGCATTGTGGCACCCAGAATGTCAATCCAGGAAGTTAAAGACATGCTGAAGGGGGGCACTGTGTGCATCGGGCCACATGGAATCAATTGGTTGGTTAAATCCAGTTTGCTGACCAGGTTTGACGCAGCTTGGAAATGGTCGTTCCAGGGGATATCAGGGAGGTAATCATCGGGCGCTCCAACCGAGCAATGAAAGAAGATCATGGCAAGAGTGGCATCCAGAATGTGTTCATGGTCAGCGTCCTTATTCAGTGCTTTGCACAATTCGGAAATAGCTTCATAGCGATGACGCATAATATCGTGGTCGATCTGTTCACCATTCAATCGACTTGTCGTTTTGAGGTGGATCGCAGCGACACTAAGACAGCAATGGAAGTATGACTTGTTTGTTTCCAAGGACTGAAGAACAGACCGAGCCCGGGCAGAACCACGCTGATGAACTTCCAGGATTGGGAAAATCATACGCAAGACATTGTCCACGAAATGATCCAGAAGTGGCCGGTCATAGTCATTGACGGGGATATTGGCTTGCAGGGAGGCCTGAGATTGTCCAACACCAGGACCACCCAGTACTGTATTTGCCTGGGAAAATTGACGAGAAGAGTCAAAATATTCGTCTTGAAACCATTCATCTGACGGGAAAGTGGGAAGTGTGGCGTGAAGTTGTGGTGGGCCCATCGCATTGAAGGTTGAGACTGAAGAGTCATGTCGCAGAGGCACATCGTTCACAAATGTTTGGCGTTCAGTCTTGACATCAACCTCATAAGGATAATGCTGAGAATAAGATATCGGTACAAACCCAGGGGTTGAAAAGTGCGCCGCGAAATTAGAATCATATCTTTCAGTATAGATAGGGCGGCTAAAGTCATCTCCAGAACTCGGCGACGAGAGGGCACGGTTCATATGCTCTGAGGAAGATATCAGAATTTGATCGGTAAATACTGAACCAACCAATAGTTGAGTCGACGCACCATGAAGAGATCCACTTCGTTCCAATGACTTGGTCTGCTTGATTTTGATCTTAATCCGTTCCTTTTGTTGTCTTCTTTGCTCTGCATTGCTCCACCACACAGGTCGTTTATATTCACATTTGATGCAGAGGTTCGCACAGGCTTTGCAAGCGGGGTGGCCTTCGTCACATTTTTTTCTTCGTAGGCGACAGGTGAAGCAACCTATATAGATTGTTAATAACCCAAAAACAGCCGATCATCAAGCGTAGATGTTCATACCAGAGCGAGATCTTTTGTGCAATCGTCCCGACTTGTCCAGTTGCCCATTGAGAGACATATCCGCAGAAGGAGAGTTTGTGTTTGTCAAAGCGACACGTGAAGTCTTTGAATTAGGCATTTTTCGCAATATTATCCTCAATATCCAGTATTGATGACAAGAAATGGTCAGTCAATAACCAAAGCGATTGAAATAATTGGAGGCGGGGTGTGCGGCACGGCCGACGAAAGAATAATATAGTTGATGAGGAGGACCAGCCACCTTGTTCGCAACTAAACAAACGGTGCAATGGCAAAAGCTGAACCGGCAGCTTATACACTCTATTAAGGGTAGAATATAATGGAAGATGGAAACGAAGGCTGGAAAACAAACTGATTCGAGACGGGTTTAAAGGATATCTTTTATCTCGAGATCTCGGATACGGCGAGTTATAAGTCTGAGCTACGATCAGCCGCCCTGGCATGCATGCTTCTAATTTTGTTGGAAGCGGTAGAGGAGCCTAGTTCGAGCCGGAAGAATATGCGAACATCGGGTGGGGAATACAACCCCAGCAGCAAATCAGTTTCGAGGCACGGGTTGTTGGCTGGGTCCTCAGACTAAATTTGGGACACGACAGGGGTGTAAGCACGAAAATTGACAGACGACAGGTATCCAGGGCCGATCCTCTCGAGCGGCGTCTGCAGCTAGCAGATAGTGATCTCTGGTAGGACGACCAGGGCCCCCATGATGCACGAGAGTTACAGTGGACCTGCGAATTATCCCTGCTAGTGCCCAACTCTTTCGGGGTAAATCACCAACTCTCAAGCACCTCACTTACCACTTAGTGCAACTCTGGGCATGGTGTATTCGGACGCTGATAGGCCCTTCACCGAGAACTGACTTCCTTTTTTTTGCTTTTTTGACGTCGAGGCTTTCAGCCAGTCAAACTTCTATATTTGGCTAATAAAAATCAAAAGATGATCCCAATTCTACAACGTACAAATGTTGATAGGGCATATCATAATTAACCAACATCCGAAAATAGTACCCTCGGGTTAGATTATCTCTTTGCTTGTGAGAAAGCGGGGTTGTTGGTTTGTTGGAATTAACAAGAAAAAATCGATACCGCCAGAATGATAGGTAACCAGCCCATCTTTGCGAGTCAGGCAATTTTCACACTAAACCCCGAATTGGTGGGAATACTCGGACAAGATTGGATGGTATTGGTCGAAAAGTAAATGGTTGGTGAAAACCGTGCAGATTTAGACTGTGATGAAGAAGCAGCTCTTGCATGCCAAGCTTCTATCTTTTGTTCCTCATTGGCTAATTGACTGTAAGCCCTAAGACCGACTAAATTTTAGTGTCATCGGTGTCGTGCAGAACGGTGGACTCATAGCCAACCGTGGGGCCGGGCCGGGCAGGCTAGTGCGCCAAGGCTAACGCTCGGACTGTGATAAGGGTACATCTGGCAAAGAGTCCTTAATTAGCAACACTTAAGCGCCATAATTAAGACTAATTATACTATTCTTGAAAATGAGACAGCATATGATATCCTATTTCTGATAGATCAGATGAGCAGAAATCCCCCCAAAGTTCTATAAATAATTAGATGAGGCATTATTAGGGGGGTCTGTAGACTAATTGTCCCATAATTAGCATCAATTTGAGCGGGGTCATCAGGACAATATGCAGTTTGAATCCTTCAAAGTCCTCATTGATCCGGATACTACCTCACTACGATGCATGTACTCCGTATGAGACTTCCGAATTAGAAAGGATCTACTCCGTACTTGGTTCCCACCAAATTTGCTCTTCTAAATTTGGAATGAATTAGATTAACCATAATTGTTTGTGGGCTTAATTTAGACTCATGTAGTAATAATAGGGAAAAGATGAGCCTCGAATTGCGCGATAATTGATCAAATACGGCTCATAAAATGAGGTCTATTTATGACGATATTGTTTCAATCAGTCCTCTTTGGCCGAGGCTGGCATATTGGCACCGCAGCCAAAATTGGATTACCGTTTTGATTGCGACCATGTGTCACCTTTTAGCTACCTGGGATCAATACTATCGGTATGTATCATGTCTGCAGGTACCCGGCAGCTCAGTCATATAATCCCAGGGGATATTGGAAAAGGAACCTTAGAAACATAGACAACTTGCTGATTGACTAGGTCATCATTGCTTACATCCCGCATTTTGATACATGTTGTACATGCTTACATTATTGTTGCATGTACCCCGTATATACAAGACTAATATCAAATTCCATGTGAATAGCCTTCTGAGTCTACTAAGAAATCTTGATTTGGGGTATTCAAAGGAGCAAGAGAACATTGTGTTTTCCCAGAGTGATGATAGTAAACAAGACATAATATTCTGAACACCCAAAAGTAACATACATGTATGGACCGTTGCCAAGATAAGTTTTATGGCTACCCACGCAAGGTACGGACCAGTCCTGGAGGGGCATTGACATGACACGGACCAAAAGTGGTCACATGGTCAGAAATGACCTGTTCCACAGGCACGTGTACGATGGGAACGAGGATGTGATGTCAATTTCCACGAGGAGAAGTCAATGATTGAAGATAACATTGAATGATATACCCCGTGATTGAAACGAAATAGGATGAATTATATGAGCCTTACTCTGTATATATTGTTCAGATAATAAGATAAAAGCATTTACAGCAAAAAATAAATCTACCGGGTAAAGGGTTCTAATAATGTAGATCGGAGACAAGCATTAGGGACCATGGAGTGCTCGTGGCTGGAGCGAAGTGCATACCCGTATTACACATCACCTAGTATGGATTGTTACCGAGACTTTTCTGCACTCTGGTTTCCATTCCAACCGCATTGTCCCCCGAGAAGTGGAACTTTGGGACACGAGGAAGGAATATCAAAGTGCGGTCAATGCTACGGAGTAGAAGGAAGACATATTTTAGATTGATCGATTACATTTCTCACCAACGCCACAAACCCCCCTCTGCGGAGTAAGGAGTAAGGAGATTTTCAGACACAATTGGTCATTCCCACTGAAGTACTCCGTAGTCATTGCATTACTGTCGCAGATCAGAAATCGAAAGCACTTATTTGTTAAAGATTTACCGCGTCGCTGGATCAAATGAATATCATGTCTGTTTGTATCAGGGTCTTACAGCACTACACCTGGGAAATACTCTTAGAACTTATAAGCTTGGGCGAGAAGTGATTTATAGCGGGATGCAACTGGCCTCAATACGGAGTACTGCGTATGCGAAAACCCTGATATGCATGAGTACGCGGTGTGATTCAATGTCTTTAGTGGGACTCTCACATGAAGTGAGCTTGGAAATTGATATGGTACTTTGTTCTCATGCAAGGCCAGTGGGAGTCGGCTCAATATTGATTGCCACACTGATCGGCCCTGAGGGATATTGTACTCTACACAGTCACCTATGAAGCGAATCTTCTACAAACACTATAAATTCGCATGGAACAAGATGCGCTATACCCGAAATATCTTGTCTGTCGTACGGAGCTCAAGTTCAACAATAGGTAATGTTAATTTTGATACGGAGTATACAAAATACACCTAGCCAAGCTTTGGCTTTCAATTTTTTTCTTTTACATCGGTGAGAGAGAAATTAATGCTATTAAAAAAAACCCTTGGATTAAAGATTAAGAAATCTATTGGTAACCTGTATTGTGAAAAATTCTAACCAATCGCTTCGGGGAAACAGTCCGAAAAAATAACGGATCTGTAGTGTGATGAGGCGGATGGGGCGGATGGGTACTTGCGGGTGATTGTGTGACTGCGAGCAGTGTGACGGTTTCCTCTAAAAAAAGGTCCCAAGCTATATCCCTGATTGGGCAAAAATGCCAGTTAAATGTTCCAAAAAAACCAATTTAGGAATAATATATTCAGGGCCATCAGATGTTTTCTATCGATTTGATAAGATGCTTTGTCTCCAAATAAAAATAGAAAGAAATGGGCATAGTAACAACCCTTTGGCTATTGACTTGATTTTGGCCCCAGGCCCCCTGAAATGTTGAGGAAATGCCACCGTTTTATAGAATTGAATTCCAAACCCTGCTACGCGCCGGGAAACACTTTAGGAGATTCCCAGCCCGTAAAAGTTTAGCCAAGAATATCATCACAGCAGTAGCGCTGTGATGGAGCAGCCTCTCACAGACCGCTATCACCCGCTTTCCCCAACCCCTCATGCAGGTTCAATGCAGACTGGATTACTTGCCCAACGAGCGTAGGAAAAAACTAGACTTACCGCATGAATTCCCGGTCTTCGGCCACTATTTCCTAAGCTAGTGTTCCAGGTTAGCTTGTCGGCCACCTAGATGCATCATGGGCGCCTCGCGGTGCTTACCGCTGAGCCATGTCCCCAGTCGCTGTCTGAGCTACAACTCTCATTGGCTTGATTTTTGAAATCATCCGAAACCCTTGATGCTGGGCATTCTTACTGGTAGCCCACAGACGAACGGGTAACAACTCCCAGATGATAACATGGTACATAAACTCACCCAACACCCAATTTACTCATCTTTGACCTTGTTACCCATTATTATTTTATCCTAGCGTGTTAAATACTTGGCCCCACATATACCAACATAAGCCGCCTAGTCTGACCAAGTCCTTTGGGTTGGTTATCCCACTGTTGGTTTTTTCACTTCCAACTCTAGTGCCGATACTCCAGCTAGACTGGCCTTTGGTATGACAGTATGGTTAGTTGTTGTTGGATCTTCCTATTGAACCCCTCAAATATCTAATACCGAGCATAGGAGGCCCAATATGCATATGACATGAGGTACATAGTGAACCGGAAAGAGGAATCCTTACCACTTTTCCCGCCTAAGACCGCAATCTATCGGCCATATTCGGAGGTGACAGAGATCTTTGAGGAGGATGGATACCGTGGCTACTCAGATAACTCACCCATGAGAAGTGTGGCTTCTGTGAGTAAAATTCATCCAAGCCTTGAAATATGCCGTGAACATCAATACTAATCCGTTCTTCCTTTAGTTTGGAACTGGAAGCATATCCACAGCCTCGACCCCAGACAATGTTGCAACCCCCGACTCGACTGGACTGACAGCATTTGATTTTCACATCGATGAAAATGATATCCGAGGCCCGAGCGGTCCTCATTTGTTCTGGTCATCTACAGACTCTGACCAGAACTCGGTCATAGACATGAATCCAATGGTCGAACAAACGCCCATTGCTACCACGGGTCCTTATCATCACAGAGCCTCGAAGTTCGACCCTTTCCGAAGGGATACACCCGTTCCGAATCGCTCGAATCCAACCCCCGAGCCCCAGCATTTCCAACCCACACCCTTTGCTAGGCAGGCTGTACAATCTAGTCAAATGACTATGCCTCAAGATTGGACACCTTTAGAGGTTGTGGAATGGATGCAAGGCCTTGGTTTGGAAGATGACATCGTGAATACATTTTTGGCCAATGACATCTCCGGCTCTATTTTGCTGGAACTTCAAAACGAAGACCTCAAGGAGCTCGAGATCGCGTCTTTTGGAAAGCGACGCAAAGTGATGGGTTACATCAAGAACCTTAGAGGTAGCAGCGTGTTCTCTGACACGGACACATCTTCACGCACAGACACTGCTTCTTCGCATACATACACTACTTCTTTGCGCTCGCGCAATTCGAGTATCACGAGCGATGTCGCGTCTACTCAAAATACATCAGTGATGTCAGGCAACACCCTGAGATCCTGCTACCCTACCGATGAAGAGCCAAATAATTTGAAGCATTGGTCTCGCCCCCAAAACTATGATAATGATGTCTACAAGAGAACTGACCTCGTTCCTGATGATTCTGTCTCCATTGTTGCCATCGAGCAGGTTCTGCCTAGACCGCACAAGTGCAAAAAGGGAGAAGATTGTCACAAGTGGCAGAAGCAACAAGATATGCTTGCTCGGCTCGCTGATGATCTGCCATTCGAGCATTTCGGCTCTCGCCGTATTGTCGCGGGAGACCCTGGAAACCCGAATACAGCCCCAAACCTACTCAGGTCTCCCAAGTCCGAGCTTACCCCATCGCTCACCGCATCCTCTGATATAATGGGGCCCGGTAAGCTCTCTGCCTTCCAGCTTTCCCAAGAAAAGCTGAGAGAGGTAAAACCTAGGGATCCCCAGGAGAATGTCAGAAACTTCCTGAACTTCCAGAGCCTCGACCGATTGCAGACAGACAATCAGCCTGCAACTCCCCCGAGAGAATTTGCCTCGTTCTCCGAACCAGAGTCTTGTGATTCAGCAAAAATTACACCCACACTTTCTGAACATCTTCGGCACCTGCCCAGGCTCAGAATTCCCAGCATGCACGATTCCAGTGACGGGTCTGTGTTTACTGAGTCTGTCTTTACTACTGAAAATACGTCGGCCATACGTACTGTCACTCCTTCTATCCTGTCAAGAAGGAATCAATTCAACGACCGGACCGCTGTACCTGGCGGACAACAGTCCATCGCCCGTGAGGTAGCACCCTCTCCAGCAGACTACTACCGAGTCGATCCTTACTATCGGTCGGAAACCCCACTTTCAGACGTGGATGTCCCAATTACTGCAGTTCCAATTGGACCCGTATCACGAGAGGACTCGCAGTCAGTACCCCCAAATATGCGCTTCGGCAACAGCAGATTCGTAACCGAGGAGCCAATTGCTCGGCCATCCTCAACTATGGTAGAAAGCCATCGGCGATGCCCTTCTATTCAAGGTGTCACCACACTGATTCCGCTCAAAGAGGAATATGCCATGAGTCCAATTGAAACCCCGGACGATTTACAAAGAACACCCCGTGCACCTCAATTCCGCAATAACACCTTGTTCCCTTCAACCAGACGTGGACAGGATGACGTTACTCACAGTGGGTGGATGAAGAAGCGCAAAACTACCAAATTGCTGCGCCATGACTGGGACAATCGTCATTTCACGCTGAAGGGTACACAACTCTCCATGCATGAGGACCTTGCGTCTGCTCATCGAGATTCAAAGGCTCTGGAGCATATCGATGTCGACGACTTCGCAGTTGCCTGTTCTTCAAATGCCTCGAAGTCCAAGTTGACAGCAGCATTCAAAAAAGCTGTCCTCAAGCGCAATGATAACTCACAGGATGTGTCGGCCTTTGCCTTCTCTCTAGTTCCCACGCCCAATGGCAGCGGTTTTGTCGATCGCAAGACCATGTTTTTAAACAGTGGCAAGTCACACCACTTTGCTGTCAATACCCGCGACGAGCGTATTGATTGGATGCGAGAGCTTATGCTGGCCAAAGCTCTCAAGCGTGGTCGAGACAGTGGTGCTGAGCTCACCTTCAATGGGGCCAATATGATATGATATGTTTTTTTTGTTGACGCATCTTACGAACAATTTTCTCTCCTGTTATCTATTATCTTTTTGTCTTTGTCTTTGTGATTTTCATGTTTGGATGACCAGGAGTAAACAGAATACTCTTCCCGCATCATCTCACCTCGGAAACTGGATGATTTTTGAATAATCTAACGATGTATTGCCACGAATTTCCTTGGTTTTGTTACGCTTTTACTTTCATTTTATTTCTTTTTTGTCATCTACTTCTTTGTCTACTAGTAGTTAGAAAGAGAGAAATACCCAGCTGACGTTGGAAGGCTCGCGCTAAATTCGTCACCTCAGGAGAGTTTATTGAGAATGATAAATATATTTTAAGCACTTCGTCAGGTTACGTATATCTATATGTTAATTTTAATGTAGTCTCAAGTCCAAAATAGCACCGATAGTAAAGTTTGAAATGCTGGCATCTCTCCCTCTGCCAGCAAAGAATAACCTTTTTTTCACGAACTTGGCCTCTCTTGCAATATCTACGTTTGTGGCGGCCAGTGTGATGATATGCATGGGGAGACAGATATCACAGCCTCTAGCGGTTAACTGACCATTATGAGTGGACAAGACTCGCAATGCAGGGGCTAAACCCAGTCATTTGCCAAGGTCAGCCTCCAACGGGCCTGCCTAGGGTTGGATCTTGCTTACATCAGCCTTGAGCACCCCCGAGGTCCCTAATGAGCATGATCCTCATAGGCTACAATTGCTAGAGATATGGAGTACCGGTGCTGAAGTATGTTTCATGTAGCGCCAGCAGTGAGTGGCGGCGCTACAGAGTACAGAAGACGTTTGGCTGTGGTCATAATTTCTCTTTGCACAGTTTAGTTCATTGAAGATCATGCAGGGGCCCCCTCCAAATCTAACAGTGCGCTCTAACTCCATGAAAAGTGGTTCAATGCTATAGGATAACCAGCCGATCAGCTTGCCCTGATTTTTCTCAGTGGGTTTCTAAAACGCACACCGCGTGCCTCGAACTGATTACCTACCCTACGCTCTTTTTATACCGTTTGACTCTCACTTCGAACATGACTGCTTCGGTTTTATCCATGCTTTGATATATGGATATACTGTCTAGTTCATGTCCAATATGATCGATCGCCCAGTGATTCGGGGTCGTCTTGCCCGAGTTTCTCAGTCTATCCGGACAGTCATGCGCTGCATAGGTGGAAATAAAGAATCCCAAGAAAGCACACAGCGAGCTACATTGATTTTGTGTGAGCTGCTTGATGTACTGTGTCAACTTCAAGATCAACTGAGCTGGACGGAAGAGAAATGGGTCGTGGATCCGTCACGACTGCATACCCTCGATGAAGTCATCCGTTGTTTTGAGTCGACGGTTGGGTCAATCGAAATGTACTTCCAGCCGGGAGGTATCAGCACTCGCTCTTTGAGAAAACGCTTGTTGGAGATTAGGTTCATTCCTAGGTTGGAGCATTTCAAGGCTATGATGATCTTGGCAATGCAACCCGAGTCTCGGTATGTGTTACCTACCCATTGGCCTGAGCGGTTCATGTACTGCAATGGGATATGAATTGAGACTAAATTGAGGTTTACTTTTTACAAAGAGAAAGGTCCCGAGTCGAAGCAAAACTCCGAAGTGTACTCAGAAAGTTCTATGAGATGGACCCCGGTTGGTCGAAATGAAAATGTCCCTCAGGTTGGTTCTCTGGCTAAACTCGGGTTTTCAGATTCAATAACAGCTAGTACATCAAACGCCGATGACTACCACAAAATTACGAGCCGTGTGACCACCCAGGGCTTTATGAGGCTAGCAGACCTATGCAATAGACGGCACGACGGAACGTGTGAATGGATATTTGACAATGATACGTATACACAGTGGCTTTTTGGCCGCAGCAGAACGCTATACTGCGTTGGACCAGGTATTCATCCCCTTAAAATCTAGAGCTGTATTCAACTAAATGCTAAAACCGAGACTAATGAAATTAATAGCCGGCGCTGGAAAGACCTTTCTCGCGTGAGTCAACTGGAAAGCGAAACAATGTCAATTCTAACGCAGCGTTTAGATCCACCATTATCGACAGCCTGCAGAATACATTCACGTCTGCAGATGTGGCAATAGTTTTTATTTTCGGTCATGATGAGACTGACGACGACTCAAGCTCCGTGGGATTTCTTGATAAAATACTTGCACAACTGGTATATCGGAAGCGGACGCCTTCTCACGCTACTGCTTGCTTGTATAAGTCCAAATCTTTCGCCGAGGGAAAAGTATCAGCAAAGGCATATCAAGATGCGATTCGTGCCGAGGTCAACAGATTTTTACGAGTTATGTTCGTCATTGATGGAATCGACATGCATGTGGAGAGGGAGCGAATCTTGAATCGCCTTCAAAAACTACCAGATCACGCACAGCTCCTTGTCACCACACGAGAAGCAAAGTATGCATCCAAGGACGAGCATATATCCGTTTTGGCCACTCATGCGGACCTTGAGACATACGCGTGCTCCCGAATTGAGCAGGATGGAAGATTGTGCGCTCTGGTGAAGCAATATCCCCCCGAGTTGAAGTTTGCTGTTATTCGTCAAGTTGCCCTGAAGTCACATGGCTTGTAAGTCACGCCTTCCCATGGGGGGCATTGATTTTCGAGGGTCCAATTCCCCTGCTAACACTTTACTATTCAATTTAGGTTTTTATTGGCCCGATTACACATGGATATGTTATCCCGATGCAATGATGGGAGCTTGCTACAGAGGTCCCTTTCTCAACTACCTGAGAGTTTGAACGATGCATACGGCGAGTCTATGACACGAATTGTTAGTCAGAACCCTTTTGCCAGCCGTTGCCTTTACTGGACGCTGTATGCTCAGAGGCCTTTGACTGTCTCGGAATTAGAGTTTGCAGCAGGCTTTGAGCTACAAGGAAACAGCGCTATAAAAGAGACCTCCTCTTCTGAACATACCATGCTTGATGAAACTGCCGGTTTATTGACTATCGATGCGATGGGTGGGACCGTTCATTTGGTTCACAAGACGGCTAAAGAGTATCTCAGTGGACCCGCAGCTCGGGTCTTTTTCCCAACTGCGAAGGTGAACATTGCAGACGTTTGTCTCACGATAATAACTCCAGATGAAGTGATTGATGATTGCTATGTCAACCAAGGAGGAACTCCTCGCAACCCCCGAGGCGGGCTGCTTGATTATGCTACAACTTATTGGGGGCACCATGCTAGCGAAGTCGGCGAAGATGAGCAAGCAACGCAAGTTCTCATTCGAGCATTCATAAACAAACTTTGCTGGAGACGACCCCCCATTACAAAGTCTTGCACCGTCGAACTCAAAATGCCGAAGCAGTTGGGTTTCGGAAAATACTTTCCTGACTGGACTTCTCTGCATGTGCTTGCTTACTTCGGCATCATTGAAAAAGCGAAACGCTTGATTGATCAAGGTGCCGATCTCGATGACTGTGATAATGAACTTGGAATTACCCCTCTGCATTGTGCTGTATACCGAGGCAATGAGGAGATGGTTGAACTACTTCTCAACTCCAAAGCCAACATCAATGCTACCTGCAAAAACGGCCAAACTGTTTTGCACATGGCTGCGGAACAAGGGCACCGCAAACTGATCAGGTTTTTGCTTCATCGACGAGTAAAGTCCAGGAAAGCGGACCAGCGAGGAGAAACAGCTCTCCAGCTAGCTATTGGGATGACCCATGATGAAGCAACTGTTCCATTTTTGATCAAAAGTCGATTTGACATGGATCTTCAGAACACTGTGACTGGAAACACTGCGCTGCATCGAGCAGTGGAGTTGAGGCGACCACGTATTCTTGCCTTTCTTCTGGAGAAAGGGGCTAATATGAACGTCCTAAACAGAGACGGTATGACTGCCCTTCAAGTTGCCTGCAAAACAGACAACTGTGAAGCAATATCTCTGTTTCTTGAGCGGGGTGCTCAGCTAGAAATTCCTTCTTCCTATGGAGTCACTGCATTACACATTTCTGCATTGCAGGGTAACTGGGTTGCATTTGATCTTCTGTTAATTGGGGGCGCAGATATCAATGCATGGGATAGCGAAGGCGATTCCTTGCTTCACATGCAAGCCCGAGAACCCTCGACGACTTCTATTGCAGCATATCTAATCGCGCAAGGTGCGAACATGGAGGCATGTAACTCACAGGGCTACACGCCATTACAATGTGCTGCCGTGTCTGGAAACAAAACAAAGTTCATCTTCCTAGTAGATCAAGGGGCGAGACTCGATGTCCAAACTGCCAAGGGAGAAACTCTTCTTCACATCACACCTCCTCTCAACCAAGACTGTCTTGACATCGTGGAAACACTACTGGAATGTCGTTTTAGCGCCAATGCAACAACACGCAGTGGATTGACACCTCTGCATCATCTTGTCATCAATGCATTCGACTCACCAGATCCCTCGTTCAAAGAGACTGCCGACTTCCTTTCGTTGCTCCTATCCTACGGGGCCAATATCAATGCCCCGACGGCTTCTTATGAGGCCGTCACGGCATTGCATTTAGCAGTGATGGCCAAGATACCACGTGAATCACTAGTATCACTGCTTATCGAGAATGGCGCCTCGGTTGATACAAGAACATCTGACGGTAGAACGCCGTTACACTTGGCTGCGGAACGAGGCCGCCATAATATTTTCCAAATATTGCTAGATGCGGGTGCGGATCTTTCAATCAAAGACACCGAAGAAACACCAACAAACGACAATGTCAAAGGAGACGGCCAGACTGCAATAGATCTAGTTGGCAATAATTCAGTTAGTGTCGATTGGTCTGATACTACGGGCAAGCTACAGTCGCTGCCAGCGATGCATCAACGCAATAGCCCAACCACAACTGTGGACTCGGTCGATAGCGAATCTGAACACTCTCAAATGGATGAAATCGGGGGATCGAGTTTGATCAGTGAAGACTACTCAATTTGGGGATCGAGAGCATCATCCACTTCCATGGATCTTTCGTCTATCATTTCTTCCTCTTGCTAAGGTACCCCTTATTTCTGCTTCCCGCCTTCCTTTCATGATCCCCCGTGTCGTCCCTATTTCTGGTCTCTCTTCCTCTTTATAAATAGCACTAGCGTCCTTCTCTGCTGAGCGTTGACTGAATTATTTTCTGTTTCTTGTTCTGTCTTCATCGTGCGCACATAGAAGGTATCTTCAGGTCTTGAGCAAATATTCAAAAAGTTCATGACTTCTGTCGCGTTTTGGGAGTTCAATAAATGGCCATGTTTGAGTAGCTTATATGCATACGAATTGATATTGTGGATCAGAGAAAGTAAAAGCTCTTATACCTGTCGTCAAAGCAGACAAATATTTGACATGGATCATGTTGGTTTATCCCATCATGCGAACAACTAGATATGCCCACCCATCTCCATAAGCGGAGCTCCTCACAACCTCCTCAATGGGCGCAGACATGGGTACCACGGCACCGTGTAATACGGGCTTGGCAAGGACAGGGTTTCTCCGACTGGGAAATAGATTTGGTAGCAATGTGTGCAAAACAGTCCCGATCGTTTGAGGCTGGGTAGCAAAACCGCTCCGCGAGCTTAGCATTTGACTTGACTGCATATTCGATGCCGTTATTGAGGGAGGAAGTGGCGATTGTACGACTTTTAGAGAAGAGGACCCGGCATCTAGTGGGAGTGGTAGGAAAATTCGGATCGGGACGTTGCGGAAGGGCTGTGATAGCTGAGGAAGAAGGATATGTGATATGCGCTGAAAAGAAAGAAGATCGACTGTGTTTCCTCGAGTTAGAATAGTCTTTCTCATTGATACAGTAGAGGGAATTCTACACAGAATGTTTAACTCACCTTTTTGAACGGCATTCCAAAGTCCTGATGAGTCTTCTTTTGAGAGACTCATGATGCCTTTGGCTGTACCGTTTCGTAGGAAATCCGCCTCTTTCACACTGTTTATGAAGGCGTCATTCATGACCATTCCATCAGCATCAAGCCGAACAAGGTCATCCGGCCAGTCGCTGAAGTGCACTATGAGACGCCAGGGCAGCGATGACCCACTGTCGGGGGACTCGTTACTTCTAGCAGCGGTCTTCGAGGCGGGGTCCGCTCCTGCATAGAGGTCGAATAACAGCCCGACTGGGTAGTGCCACTTCAGAGGCACGCCCTCAAACTCAAACCAGCCATCATGGGACTGGGAGTTTGGTTCTATCAGAAAATTTGAGAAGAAAGCTCGAAGCTTGGGTAGCAACGAGGGAAGATATGAGATGCGCGGATATGAGATCTAGCAACTGGGATCAGCATCTGTAAATATCAAGCGAAGGACAGACATACAAGATAGGGATCAGTCTTATCAAAGGTTCGGCTTTCTGATGAAGCTAAAACAATCTCCAGTGGCAAGCGCCCGTCCCAGACAGCCTTCTGAATAGAGCCGAGAGACACTCGGTTCTCCATCGTGATGAGAGATGAGTCGTTTCTTTCCTACAATGCTTGTTTTTCTGCTGATTTTTTATGATATGGTTAGCTCATCTAGCTATTTAGGACCTAGAGAAATACAGTTGATCTTCACAAACCTTGTTTCGAATTACTAGACACGCGCTGATATTCGCATGTCTTCAACTGATAAGACTCGCAGTTTGGAAATGCCCCGCTTTAGATGTGGTCATGATCCGGGAAACAGCACATCCACAAAATTCCAGAGACAGCCAGCCACCTTTTCAAAATTTTCAGTCCAGCGTTTGAGTTCCAAGGAGATAGATGCGGTCTGTGTTGACATAGCGTGACTTGAAGCGCCAAAGGTTGATGTCACGTGTTTCTGCCTCAGGCAATAATTTTCAATATTTCTGCCTTAGGTTTCTTATTTGATAATTAAAGCAGCGGTAAGCTGGGACGGAGATCCTCCAGACTCTCAATATCCAGTCCAATATTAGTTGACCATCGAGTACTTTGTGAACTTTCTGGATTGCCTAGAATCTCTTCATTTGTGAGACCATATACAAAGTCTTTTTGCGCATCAAGAACCTTCACAATCACGCCGCATCAAACGCTATCGTGATGCGTTGTTGACATTTCTTACCCAGCCCTGGCACATGGAGAAATGTTATTTGATCAACATGACTCCAATCTTATTTTCTATCGAGAAAGTCACATTAATAACCCCCATGTGGAAATCGTCGATCTACAATCCGTAAGCTGGACAGAATATGCACAGAACAATCGTGTTGCCTCGCCGAATGGTTTTCCATCCAACATGATTTGCAACTGTCTTGGACATTTGGAGCTTTATGGTCTTGGTATCACCCAAACTCGAAGGCCTCTTGACATGATGTTCTCGCAATGCAGCGACTGCGTCAATGGTGCACTGAGTCCTAGTCACGAGAGCATATCTTAAATCTGCCGAAAGAGTGACCAAGCGACCAATACAAGCAAAATCCATGCTGCACACGCCTCACATCACTTCCACGCTGGGCTGACATTGATTTACAAGAGGCACCAAGCCATGCCAAGGGTTTGATTGAAAAAAATATATATTATAAGCCGAGAAGTCTGAAAACTGCCGCCGCGGCAGCTGCATAAGCTAAACATTATCCCGGGGTGTCACTTCTGGGCAACATGTGACTTGCCATACAGGGATGGACCAGCTCAGGGCTCGGCGTGGGTGCCGGCAGGAGAATGATGCTCTGTTGAAACTGGGGCTCCAGCAACTTTCGCCTCGGAAGCTGCTGCCAACAGAGCAGGCAAAGAGTTAGGATTGCTAAAACATGCCAGTCATTAAACTCCAAGGCTGGGTTCTTGCACTGTTTCAAGGGCATCAGAGTTCTAGCAATCCAATTACTGAAAGATCATCCAAGCCCAGCATGATGCACCATACGTCTTCATCCCCCACGCCGCGTACCACCTGCCGGCTCTACGGTGAAAACTACACCTGTGGATCTTGTGGATCACGGAAGATGGGCAGGCATAGATGCACAGTAAAATTCATCAAGTATCAGATATTTTGCTCAATTCATTAGGAAAACCATTGAGCGATAAGTTGTGACTTCAAGAACACAGTTTCTCGAACGCACTGGGACATCGCTGATGGGTCGGGACATTAGTGCCAACTAGTTCTTTACTCTAAAAGTTGGTATAACTCTACATGTAGCTAAATCCTGCTCGCCATTTTAACGTCAATTTTAATGGTGATTTCTGAATACCAAGGCCGGGCGGCTACGCTACGGCATCCTTCCAGGCCGGAACCGGGCCGAAAAGACCTTGTATAGTTCTTGCTATTAAAACACCGCTAGTAACATCAGAACTATGCAGAAACCGGGTAAATTTATCGGGTAAGCACATTCATATATCCCTATTTGTTGGTAATTCGGGCCCGATGGCCTCTGCGATGTAAACCCGGAGTTACGTTTAGGGCAAATGTGCATTATGGTGAGTGATTATCCCGAGTCGTGGGGGCCGTATACCGCCACTTCCGGGGGATACTTTGGCAGGGACAATTCATTATGCAGTTTGAAGGATTCCTATAAACACAGTTACTACAATTGAAAATTCTTCTTTCTTCCATGTCTAGAATTCGGTTAGTATCCCGAAGTCGGGATCAAATAGACTTTTATCGCTTCATCCGCTTGCCGGTGTGCTCTTCGGCCAGAGAGCTCGGCAAAATTCCGGCTCCACACATGGTTAAGGGTTCTCCCCTATAGGCAAATGTTTCTGCTCCCAGAAAGATTGGGGAAACAAGATCACGGGGTATTAACTTAATACATACGGGACTTCGCTGTGCCAGTCTCTCCACTGTTTAAATTCGTACTATAGTTCCTCTCAAACTAGAGAGAAAAGAATATGTTACTCGGTGGCGATGGGTTCACCGTCCCCATACTAAACATACTTGAACGGCTAAACGCGTAAAACTCGTCTCCAGTGCAGAAATACAAGTACATCTCACAAGGGTGTCTACTATCTATGGCATCAAAGAAACCCTTTTGAATAGAATGGTTCGTTCTGGGTGATTTCATCGAGGAACTAGGGTTCCGTGTTTGATATATCTATGTTAATGGATACTGTACAAAGCTTACTTGCCGGCTGAATGTTTCCAAGGTTCTTCCGGGGAAAACGCTACCCCGGTCAATTCCCACTCACGGGCATCTGCATCTGTAATCATCGCTGTATCGTAGCCTCACGCTTGAACCCCATATTATATTGCCCCGGTCTATGGGGTTTAGGCGACGTGTGTTGTGGGGAGCTCAGTTGGGGAAATTCCACACCCACAGTCCATTGGGACAGCAGGTATTACTTAGGGTCCCGTTCTAGCACCTGTTGAGATTCTCTCTTTCCTCCATCTGCCTTGAGCAAATTTTTTGGTCTTTCACCCTGACCTTCCATTCAACCTCACAGCTTGAGCTGTCACCTCTTCGGCCATGAGCATTCTCACACTTGCCGAGGATCGGCCAACGCCCAAGTCCGTTTACAACTGGCGTGTATATGCACTCGCCGGCATTGCATCATGTGGTTCCAATATGATCGGTTATACTAGTGCCTTCATCGGTACAACTATCACCCTCGCCTCCTTCATGAAGGAGTTCGGTCTTGACGAGATGTCTCCCCCACAAAAAGCTCTGATTAGCGAGAACATCGTCTCGCTTTTCATTGCTGGTGCCTTTTTCGGCGCCCTGGGAACATACGCCCTCGGTCACTTCATTGGCCGCAAATGGAGTTTGGCTGTTGCCGCCACTGTGTTCTTTCTCGGATCTGGATTGCAACTCGGTGCCAACAGTGCTCGAGGGCTGGGCATTCTATACGCTGGTCGTGTGCTGTCCGGTTTGGGTACCGGTATAGCCTCGAATATCATCCCTATATATCTTTCCGAACTAGCGCCGCCTGCCATCCGAGGACGGCTCGTCGGTCTGTATGAGCTTGGTTGGCAGATAGGCGGCATGTTAGGTTTTTGGATTAATGTGCGTCTTGTTGCCTCTCCCCAGTCTTTGTTCTCCCCTGTCATCTTTACATTCAAAGCTAACCTAGCAATGGTAGTATGGTGTCGAGCAACACATGCCCCAAGAGCACGAGCAATGGATCATCCCATTCGCCATCCAGCTCGTCCCATCTGGTCTGCTTTTCATCGGTGCCCTGTGGATTAAGGAATCTCCTCGGTGGCTGTTCCTTAAGAACCGTCGCCGCGAAGCAATGGAGAATCTTTGCTGGATTCGTCAGTTGGAAACTGACGACATGTATATCACCGAAGAGGTGGCTGCTATCGACCAGGCTCTTGAGCATCAGAAAACTTCCATCGGTATTGGTTTCTGGAAGCCCTTCCAGGCTCTCGCCACCAACAAGAGCGTTATGTACCGCCTGATGCTGGGCTGCATGCTCTTCTTCTGGCAAAACGGCTCCGGTATCAACGCCATCAACTACTACTCGCCAACCATTTTCAGATCGGTATGATTACGCTTCATCTGTTGCATTTCTAATGATCAATTGATTATACTAACTTTTATGTCTTAGATTGGTATCGACCCCAACACCGTCAACCTGATGACCGGTATCTTTGGTGTTATCAAGGCCGTTATGACCTTCGTGTGGCTCCTGTTCCTGGTCGATCAATTTGGAAGACGCAATCTGCTCCTTGTTGGTGCCGTGACTGGCTCCATCTGTATGTGGGTCATCGGTGCCTATATCTGTGTTGTCAAGCCCGAAGATAACCCCAGCACATCTCTGGACGGCGGGGGCATTGCGGCTATATTCTTCTTCTATCTGTGGACTGCAGTCTACACCCCTACCTGGAATGGTACTCCTTGGGTTATTAACTCCGTACGTCATTGCTTATTATCATCCTCAATTGAATTCTTTCCTAACAAGCTATCAGGAATTCTTTGACCCCAATTTCCGTTCTCTGGCTCAAGCCGCTACGACTGCGAGCAACTGGCTCTTTAACTTCCTCATCTCGCGCTTCACCGAACAAATGTTCGACAAGATGCACTACGGCGTGTACTTCTTCTTCGCTGCGCTCTCATTCTTGGCATTCTTTTTCGCCTTTTTCCTCATTCCTGAGACCAGCGGTATCCCTCTTGAGAAGGTCGACCGCCTGTTTGATTGCAAGCCCGTCTGGAGAGCAAACAAGATGCTCAAGGCCGCCCTCGCGGAAGAGGAGGAACAGTTCCGCTTCGAGGTTAAGGAGACATCGTACCATGAGGAGAACACTGGTTCAATTGCGCCTGCACCTTACGATGAAGAGACACAAAAATGAGCGATACAGTTACAAATGGGCGTATATAGAGTTGCTTATTGGCCTTGTACAGACGAGTACAATGTATAGACAGCTACATAGATTGACATGCATTTTCATGGACTTGTTTTATTTCAATTTGGACAAAAACACACTATATGCTGATCCAGTCCTGAGTACATAGTGACGACGCCTAGGTTAGTCGTCTGTCTGTGGGTGATGGCAGCCCCGGGCCAGCAAAAGACCGGAGCCGCAGGGCAGTTCCCCCCCCCCCCCCCCCCGGTGTTTTTATTCCGTCAACTTCAATACCCCCAAAGCTCCAGATATTGCTACTGTAGTTTCTATGAATGAATACCATCATTTTTGATGAAAAAAAAAAAAGGATCGATTAATGGGGAACCCGAAGAAAACACCCAAGGTCCTTCATCGTCTTGATATTCCGAGCTGCACCGCCATTATCCCACTGCAAGATGGCGACAACCATCTGATAAGCCTGCATCTTCGTCTCGCACTGGATATCCCTCGGACCGCCTCTTTTTCTACCCATGCGCGCACTTCTCCATCCTTTGGTCTTGCTCAAAGTTTCTGACAACTTCTCTGCCTCAATAGCAAGCGATTCCTGCACCGCTATGATGGTAGGCATATTGGCAGAGAAATTTTTGATCCACCAGCATACGCGATATAAGCAGATTCTTGGGATCGACCTTTCCCATTACTATGACAGCGTATATGTATAATGATTCTGTGGATTGGCGTTCCCTGGTTCGCTTGGCGAAAGATCTGATGGATAATATGCATACAGATTAATGAGGCAATAAAGCAAGATTTATTCGCACCCATGTTTACATGATCACCTGGCATAAATAACTCCTCAGATCGCCCTTTCGATGAGAAATATCATGCCGTCCACTCTTGATTCTATGGTTGGGGCTGGTGGTTACGTCATGCCACGAGATGGCCCTGCGGAGTATAGATCAGCACTGATATACGTCGGGTACAATGGGATTCATGGTTCTCAAGTCCCAAAGTACATATTGGAAATTGTCGTTGATGCCAAGTAACGTTGACTTGAGGGTATGGTGACCCGTCGTAGATTCTTTTTTGAACGAACCATCGCTTCACCAAGTTGTATGCAGCATAAAGCCAACTTTTGCATATTGTAAACGCGATGATCACCGCAGGGATTGTCAGCTGGTAATTCTGATTGATCAGGTTTTTTTTCTGTCAAGATCAATGGAATAGAAACAAGGCTCAACCTTGGAAGTCTCCTTTCTCCGCGTCACATGGCTGAAATATTTTGTTAGTAATGTGTGGGAGAAACCCAAGGTGATTGAAATCCGGGGTCTCAAATATTTGTACCAAAAAATAAAACCAATCATGTCGCAGTACATCATAGTCTTGCCTGCTCCGTAACCTTGCTGAAATGATGGATAGGGTTCCAGATCACAATCTCCCCCATCTGGGGCAATGAACTTGATTAAGTTGCAGATGTGAGATCATTTCTATTGGTCGGGCATTGACACCAGTCTTACACTGCCCAATGAGAGACATGAGCTGTCTCAAACGCAATCGCTGCCATTCTAAATTTAGCTAGATTTAGGAAATCAGATCCTTATGGCTAAAAGGGAAATGATCTGCCGATAATCTGGAAGCTCACGGAAAGACCAAACTAACGCTCTATTGTATAAAACTTAAAGCTAAATATTCCCGTGGAATGTGCTAATATGTAATTACGGAAATTCCAGGGCTGTTTAGGTACTAGACAAATGACCCCGGGAGATGGCTGGTTGCGGAACTAGTTTGGACCACGTGCTTGGACCGGTGGCGGACTAGAGTTTTATTGCATTGACGTATTCCCTTGTGCCTGGAAAGGCGAGAATAAGCCGAAATAAAGATTTTCACTGGGAATCGACATGATCGTCTAGATTCTTAGGAGGCTGGGGGCAGTGTAGAGGGGCAAGGCTGGGAACAACCAAGGTAACACGGGAACACCATTGTTGATCACGATTCCAATCTTTGTCCAACATACGGAGTACATCATCCACATAATAAAGCCAAGTCAAACCCGCTTTTTTCATGAATGGTGGTTGCCTGAGAGCGGTGTTTCACTGAGCGACCCTGGACGATCTCCTGGATCCACCGAGCGCTTACGTCGTGCTGTGGAGTTCTGAGCATGATATCAGGAAATCAAGAAAAGGAAAAAGAAAGAAACTCCCATCATCTCTTTTGACACTCACTCGTTTTGTCGCCATGCAACTGAATGGCTCCCGTTTCGGAGCTTTCATTCTCATCCTCCTCCAGAGTCTTCACCTCGTACAAGCAGAGAATCTCCTCCAAGCCACCGGGCTGACACAATGTTCCGAGAGTGCCGAAGTGACCGTGAATAATTTCAATGCGATTTTCACACCAGGCAATAAGTCCATCAGCATCATATTTGATGGTTATTCTGAAGTGGCCGGAGAGGTCCTTATTGACGTGGACCTCTTGGTGTACGGATACAAAGCGTTCACCAAGTCGTTCGATCCGTGCAGTCTTGATTTGGCCGTATTTTGTCCTATGAAAGCCATCGAACTCCAAATTCCCACAATCTCGGAAACATTGGGCGACAGCCTTCTCTCGGAAATACCATGTTCGTTATCACTTCCTTGATGTGTTGCAATCTTTTCAGGGTACCTGAGCCAGAAAAAATGTGTTCTTACTAACGGCTACGTCATAGCGATCTCCTATAGCGTCCCCGACATCGATGCAGTCGTTCGCCTCAAGCTCAAATACAAAAATGGAGGTAAACAGATCACCTGCTTGGAGACCCGTATTCGCAATGGAAAATCAGTCTACCAGGCTGGGGTGTCGTGGACCCTCGCCATCATAACCGGTCTTGGTCTCATCACCTCCACGGTCATATCGCTTCTCGGCCATTCGAACACGGCAACCCATCTTGCTTTCCGATCGCTTGCCTTCCTCGGATTCATACAAACACAAGCAATGGCTGGGATGACATCAGTGAAACTGCCACCTTTTGTGCAATCATGGACCCAGAACATGCAATGGAGCTTGGGGATTGTGCGATCGGATGCTCTACAGACAATTGCGACCTGGTTTCAACGCTCCACCGGGGGTACGCCCTCGAATGTGTTGACATCGTCCGGTTCTCTATCTACTGTCCTGCAGAAGCGTTCTTCCGAGATCGTCCGCAGAGCTGCAGACAAAGGAAGTCAAATCATTCTTCGCGGTATTGAACGGGTTGGAGTTCGTGAATCCATCGAACCGACCAACATCTTTATGACCGGATATCTATTCTACTACTTTGTCACTGCAGTCATCGTCGCTTGTGTGGGTCTGGTCCTGCTGGTCCGAATTGTTCTAGCCAAAAAACAGACATCGCTTCAAAAGTTGGATCGCGCTCTCGGCGTCGCCGCAGATTGGAAAACCATTCTCCGCAATACATTCTTCCGTTTGGCGTGCATCGGATACCCACAGATGTGTGTCCTGTGCCTCTGGGAACTGACTCGTCGGGACTCAGCCGCCGAAATTGTCCTGGCCATTACCATGTGGCTAGTGACGACCGCCGTCCTAGCCTTTGCCGCATTCAAGGTGTTCCAACGCGCGATGCGATCGAAACAGCAGCACAACACACCTGCGTATACGCTCTATTCTGACCCTGCCACTCTGAGCCAGTGGGGTTTCCTGTATATCTACTACCGCGCTCCGGTCTACTACTTCCTTGTCCCAACTCTGGTCTATACCATTGTTAAAGGCATGGTCATCGCCTTCGCTCAGCCTTCACCAGTCGCGCAGTCGATCGTTCTTCTTATTGTGGAACTTTCTATGATGCTCGCAGTCGCCATCATCAAGCCGTTCATGTGCAAGGGGGCAAATGTCGTTGCAATCACAGCGGGGGTACTCAATTCCCTCAATACGATCTTCCTGCTTGTATTCTCGGACGTTTTTGACCAACCCGAACTCATGACGGGCATCTTGGGCGTGCTCTTCTTCATCATCAATGCGATATTCACTCTTGTGCTCCTGATCTACCTTTTGGTTGGTATGGTTTACGCTATTTTCCTCAAGAAGCCCGATACCAAATACAAACCTCTTGGTGACGACCGAGACTCTTTCCGCTGGTCTCGCACCGGAACGACGACCGAGTTGTCGTCCCTCGAGAAGATCGCGAGAGGCGAGGAGGATGCCGAAGCCCATCCACATCCTGCCCGCGTAGTCACTGCTCCGCCCAGCGATGAAGATGTGTCCATGGCAGCCAGAAGACCATATAATGATGTCGTGGATCCTTCGCTGCCGCTCTTCCCCACCAGTTATGACCACATGCGACGATAGTCGTGAGGATTTAGATCCAATTCCTCTTTTTCTTTTTTTCTGCTTTTATGCTCGCATTTTCAAAGGTTTTCAAGCGAGATCTCTCTTAACTACTGCGTTGGTGCATTGGCGCTTCGGGTGGCTGTTGTACATATTCAAATTTTGAAGTCTGGCATCGGGCCAGATACTATGTTTCTAAAAGTTCCTTACTGTAGTTGTTTTATGTTGACCATGAATACCCCTTACTACTTAAATCTTTCATTATCTGATGTTATCACTACATTTGGAAGATATGGGAGTCGGGTCAAGCGTAGAGAGTACCGCCTCTTGTGTACCATCCACATCGTGTGGCTGAGTTGTCGAGCTAACCCATTTCTATTTTTTCCCCTGATCTTCTTGAATCTTCTGCATCCTTCATCGCCAAATTCAGTCTACTGTTGCTGGGTTTTGTCAACCAAACACTCGTCCAGTCCAATTTGACAACCCTGGAAGGCTGGCAGTTTGATGACAACACACGCGCAAGTTGGGACATTTTCTGGACTTTGTTTCAACAATCCTTGCCTGCAGATGGACAGCCCTGCATATTTCTGCCCGAAGAGGTGATTAGACACAGGCAGTCATTTGTTTTCACACCTTGGTCGGTCATGGAAGTGGTACTGGCAAGAATCCAGAGACAATTGGGCAGTGGTAACACAAAATTGGCAGCGTCGAAACCCACCAGCCCAGCCTTCTATGACAGTAATGGTGGCCACCAAGACGAGGAAAATCCCCAGGGGACTAGAACAGCATCTCATACCAACAATGGTGATCATATAGACGAAGAAATCTCCCATGAGCCAGAATCACAGCCAGCTATCATCAAGATGAAGAAGTCCCCCATGATTTTATAGCAGCATCACAGTCAACAGCCAAGAAATGAGCCAAAGGTCGACGGAAGATTGACGGTAATGGAAACTTCCCAAGGAAAAGAACCATTGATGAGGTCCTCTGAAGCCAGCAAAACTGACCACCGAGACGTGGAAGCCCATCAGGAAACCGAGCCAGTATCCGAGTCCCTGGTACGCTAGCCAGACGACGAAATATTTACGATCATGGAATGAACCAATGTCACTCATTTCTACATGTTCGCTGCGTTGGCCTTTCGCGTAATACATGTTGCGACGTATTATTATACCCTTTAATATTCTTCTCAATGCTCGATAAAGCTGATGATCGAAACATGTAGATGGAACTCCACATTCCCAACAAAGGAGGAGCAAATAGTATGGCGAGTGCTCTCACTATTTGTACTCTACATAACCTAGCCTCTGTACTTCAAATGCATTTAGTCATTTTATTAGCTCCGGCGTACATTAGGTGACAAGGAGAAGCGTGTCTTAAGTATTGGCTGGTCAAAGGCACCTGGCCTTCTTTTCGTCCTGGTGTGGTTTTGCTGCTATGCAACTGCACGCTGGGGATGTATCATTCTTATGTTTATCTCCCTCCGGGCGTTGCCCGCTGGTTCTTATATCACCATGAGTTAGCCAGCACCAATTCCCCGCATTTGGTTCACACGGCATATTCAAAATGTGTTATGGTGATGCATATTTGTCTGGTTGAATGATGTGAGGATTGGATTTTCACTTCATTCCCCTCTTCACCCTAGCTTCTACAAATAAAAGCAAAGAAAAGAACGAATTACTATCAGAATTATCTTCATGGCCCTACCGTTTGCATGATGAGTCTAAGGGCGCTCGAGGGATGGGGCTGTGCTGTCATCCCTTGATTCATGCAACCAACCTGCGAGCCTAATATAAAAATGGATGCGTGTTAGCCAAGGCTGAGCAGATTACGATCCTCGTTTATACACACCTCGGTCATCCTAAGGCCTAGAATAGACTCGACCAAGACGGACTTTGCAAGTACCATCCGATTCCGAGAAAGGTCCGTTGTCCGTTCATTGCAGGCAACTCGGATGTGACCGTGGCTGCAGCTTGGTAAGGAGCCTAGCGGAACGGAAAAGCCGTTGGATAAAATAAGCTGGCTGCATAGGCCACGTTCACACGCATGCACAAAACGCTACTTTTCGAGCCAATATCTCTGATTTATTTCGGACCCAACTTGCGGGTTCGATCTTATGGTATGGCAATGTTAGGAGCATGTGTTGCGACGGTAACAAGCTGCAGCTGCATTTTCGGCATCTATACTCCGTGCCGGAGCCCGCGGCGGATGAAGTTGAACTATTGAGTTGCGTTTCAGACTGAGGCGTCCTTCGGTGATTGGCAAGGTGCGCCAAACCTCCCAAACAGGAATATGTATGGACGATCATTTCCTCTTCTGTAACGCCCTTGTCGATTTCCCCCTTGGACTCATTTTTGGACAAGCTTTTATTTTATTTTTATGATAGGTAAAATCAAGGAGAGAAGAACCATCCCATTGAGTTTTCGTAAGCTTCAGGGGCTACGTTTCAGGCTAAAATAAGAATAAGTTCTTAACATCAAGTTCTCCGCGGCGGAAATACGTTGTTGAGAGCATATCACGAACTAAAACGCCATCGCATGTTGTACCACCAGGTCAGCTCACCTGAGACGAATGATCGGCCTTAGGGGTTCGTATTTGGTGAGCCAAGTGATCGACGCCATAGCGTATGAAGATAAGGTTGCTGGAATTCCGCCAGACGTGCCTTGCATATCCTAACAGGACACCTCAAACATTTCTTAAGGGAATGAGCAAATTCGGACACGCGGGAAAAGGAATCTTGTTATCTTGAAACACCGGCTTCCATATGGCTGTGGCTTAGGCTCAGCCAAGAATTCAAAAAAGAAAGCCAATAATGCGCGTATATCTGCATACTGTACGCGGTACGGTCCACTACCCTCGGTCCGCAAAGTTTAGCGGCACTCCGTAGTTCTTACCGAAGAGGCTTCGTTACACCATAGAGATCAGCGCTAGCACACTCGGTAGCCTTTAGCGAGATGTCCAAGCTCATCGCCATGTCTCGTAAACAAACGCTTTTGAGGATTGGGCCCTTTGATCAGCGAATGGGTCCGGGTCTTGAAAACACTCCAAGGCAAATTGATATTGCTGATGCTTTCCTTCCTGAGATGGTCCAGCCTTTGGACTCGTCATAATTCGCTTTAGCAAGGCAATTCATTTAACTCCCCCTTCCTTAGACACGCTCCAATTTGGGGGGTTTGATTATAAGTTGCTCGCATTTCAGAGATGTTCAGCTTTCGAGTGCAGGATCCAAGCATTCCTGTATTTGAGATTATGGCTATGCAAAATAACTCTTAGGGCTAAAGGCTGGTATGGACCTGCCACTATCAAAAGATCTTGTGCCAAGAGTACCGTGCCCTAATCCCGACTCACCATTGAGAGATCTACAGCATTGACATCAAGAAAGGGAAATGAAGGAAACATGCAGCAGGCGCGCGTGGTCCGGGAAATGCAGTACCGTAAGCCTTGTTTTATTTTATTTTCGCTTTTTGACCTCTAAGAGCTCGGCCCCTGGGTCAACGTGACCATGTGACGGACCACGTTGGCCCCCGGCATTGTTTCACCCTAGAAGTTTGCGTCGTAGTAATCCCACGCGAGAATGCCGGCCATTGCGAAGCGCTTTTGCCGCCAAGGATGGCTCGGGATTTGTTCGTTTCAACGAGTTCTAGACTTTCGAAAACTACGTTTCAGGATCGTGAATCTTGTCCCTTGTTTGACAACTCCGTCGAATATCCGTTTACAGAAACTGGAATCGACTTGTATTGCACCCCCTCGCTTCATTCCACGGCACATATGTCGAGAGTCTGGATACAGACCTGAAACATGTGGTTGGCCATGTGCTGAAGAAGAATGCTGTATTTACGCTCAGGATGATCGTAAAAGCGGGTCTTAGTCCACGCATCCTTATGCGGCTGGTACCTGCCTCCTAGCCCCGGTTACCTGCAGCTCAGCCAATAACAACAGGCTTGTCGCTTGTTTTGCATAGAGGAGCCGAACGGGTATGTGCTTTTGGCTATGGACCCTCGGACTTTCCCGACAAAACAGTCCCCAAACCGGCATGGTTCATGCAGGCTCAGTCTTGGCAAGCGTTGAGCTCAAGGGTCGAGATGCCATCACAAGTGGAGTCCATGCAGTCGACGAAGATCTTTTCCTCGTTTCCTTCTTCGCTTAGCTCATACTGTCCATGTGGGCTATGATACGAAGCTCAAGCTCGCGTGTCCGCCCGCAAAGGCATGCCGTCCCCATGCATGACGCCAGACCTGCAGTGTATATATAGGAGCTCCCCTCAGTTGTATCATGGGCATCATCAGCTCAGAAACTCATCATCTCTACAACTCATCATCTCTACAACTCATTTCTAAACATACCGATCAAAGCCAAGCGCATACCTCGCTCTTGAATACCACACTATCACAAGCTTTCTTCTTTCTACCGGGCCTCTTCCCTGTGACTTGACTATTTGGTTCCTCTGGACCGCCTGTGAGAACCTCACATCTATCACCAACAACCATCCACACACACCATGTCTATTCCGGAGCCAAGAACTACAACGTGAGTGTGCCTATATTCAGATACATCTTTCATCAACCAACTAACCGGTTCTCCCTCAGTGTTGCAAATGGTACCAGCACCAACGCTGTAAGCCAAGGCAACGTCAGCCAAGTGCCGGGAAGCAGCCGCAGCAGTGTGGACCGATTTGCACGAGCACCAGCCTCCGAGGGCCCTTACTTTGCCGGCGCGCGGATGCCAGAGAGATCGGCACACCTCACGGGGCTATCAAGTCAACTCAATGCCATGGATGAGATTCTGAAGACTGGAAGTTAAGAAATGAAAGCAAATGAAAAGAAAAAATGTATCATCCAACACCAATTTCTATGTATAGCGGATCTACCAAATGGAACTGAACGAGAGTCCAATGAGCCTGGATATATCCCAAACCTCCCGCTCAAGAGTGTATATATTTCGTGAAGCCCATTGCTCATAGTGACTCGAAGATGTAAGACGCTACTTCCTCGTACTTGGTACTAGGGAACTCATGCCCCGCTTCGTAAAACTTGAAGATAACATTGCCACCCAGGGCAGCCATGGCATCTGGAACAAGCTCACTTTTGACAATGATTGAATCATTGTTACCACACAGAATGTGAACTTTCTTATCTGCCAGCCTCTTATTCCCCTTGTTTGACGTGCTGTTCTGTGCAGTTAAATACTCGCCAAGACGCGTCCAGCTGTTCCATTGGCGCTCTCGTAGGATTGGGCCATAACGCATGCTGGACATGAAGGCGTGGACAAACCCTGTGTGATTATTTACCTGCCACGCCACGGTACCCGGAACGTTGATGTGGGGGTAGTTTCGGGACAGAATTTGGGTTGCTGCAGCGCTTTGTGAAGGCAGTTCCTCGGTAAGTGCATCCGCAGCATTGAGCTTCTTGTTCTTGGGCTTGGGCGTGGTCAAGGGGCCTGCTCTCAGTCGACGGCTAACCAAGGATGTTAAAATACTCTCAGGCATAAGACCCTTTGAGTAAAGAAGTCGACTCTGGAAACTGATTTGCGAATCTCGGAGCAAGCCCGAAGGGGCTAGGAGCACCAGTGACGACAGAAGGTGAGGAAAGTAGGACGCAAAGGCAGCGGCAATGCCACCTCCCAGAGAGTACCCGGTAAGGCAGAATTTACCGGACTCTGCACCTGTCCAAGAGATAGGCGATGATGTCAGAGCGAGGAAGATCTGAGTCGAGAAGAGGCGCTCATCCTGTGGAAGATCAGCAGGGCAGTCGGAATATCCTCTTCCGAACCTATTTTCTTCGGGTTAGCGATAGTTCAAAGTGTTGAGTGCGGTGTAACACCTACAAATCAAATAGCATCACACGGCAGCCGCGGTCCACCAGCGCATGGGCCACCCCGCCGAGCGCAATACACGGCGTGGTGATACCGTGCACGAACAACACCTTGGGTCCATCTTCCGGGCCCCATTCATACACTCGGATCGACCCGTACGGGCTATCGACATCCCGGGCACCGGGCAGCACATCAGCTGGGAGAGGCAGCTGGCGATTCTCCGACTCGGATATGCCCGGCAATACTGTCGATCGAGGCGAGACGAGAACAGTCTGGAGCTGGTCTTTTCGAGAGAAAACCGATCGAGCGAGCAGACCAAGGGTGAAAGAAGCCCCACTTACTGCTAGCAAGGGGAGTTGAGTCTGGTTGTTCGAGAAGGCACCGGAGAGGAAATCCACAGTTTGGTTGTAAAGCGCCATGGTTGCGATTGCGGGAAGTCACCCCTGGGTCGAAAAGGTGTTGTGATGCAATATTGACCACTTGAACTGATGCTGTGAATGATGAAGGGAGGAACTAGCGATAGCTGACGAAGGCAGGAAGTTGGGAGGGACTGTTCTGTTAGGCGGAAATACTCCAGGGCTGAGACCGAGGCTGACCGCGCCGCTGTGTTCCAATGTTGGCGCCATGTGTCTGATAAGATTAGATAAGATAAGGCGCAGACCTCGGGAACCTTGGTTGGTTCATCCGAGGTACGCGTAAAGTCAACATCAGTTAACCTTAACTTACGGAGTACATGCAACATTCCAAGGCTAAAAATACCTATGTCCATAGGTTGCTTGAATTTGATATACAATTATATGATACGAGAAACATAACTTCCCTCCGCTTAGCCGTACTTTTAAGTGTTGTGTGCTTTCGAAGGCGGTCTTACTTTTGCTTTGCAGTGATGCTTTGCTTCTGGGATACAGTATAATACCTAAGAGCTACACAACCTGCTGCGATCACTAATTCCCGCTTATGGATTTCAAGAACTAGGGCGCTCAAGTACGTTAGTATACGAGCCTATAGATAATTCCGAAGAGATTTTGTGTGCGATGGTTACGCGTGATCGCTATACTAGGTATATGACCACTCTAGCTTAGGGTAGAAGGGAGTTCCTAATATGTGCCTAATTTTAAAGGCCTTAAGTATAATATAACTAGTGAAAAATGGTGTCTATGGTTTTCAACGCTACGTTATATAGCGATCTAGCCATAGGATGGAGAAGGGCTAGCCAGGGCACCGAACCGACGGTGAAGTCGCACAAGAAGCGATAGGGCCATAGTAGCCCCTCAAATAACACTATATGTGCTGCTTCTCCTCCGATATATTCAAGCCGAGCTCCGAAGGTCCCGAAAAGGTTGTTTAGATCGCCATCGCTAGTTGAGTGGGGTTGTTGGTCGAGAGTTAACATCTTTTTCATGTCCCTGGCATTCTTAGAATCCTAGAGGGATGAAAATATAATGCATGCGAGTAAAACGAGGCTGACTTTGAAAGATCAAAAATAAATTCAAGATCATGAACTCAGGGCGCGTGGCTGAGGGCCACGGAGTGGTGGGGTACTCTGTAGGACGCAGCCAAAGCGCCAGAGGGACCAATGGACGACTTCAACACAGACACGTCGATTAGGTCAAATGAGTTCGATTCTACAACATAGGGGCTCTTTCTTGAAGATATAGAATCTAGGGCAGCATTTTTTAGAATAGAAACTGGATACTATTGACATGAGCGCATGATGGACGGGATAAAACACTGGGTAGAAGCCATCGTAACTATTATTACACCCCTTCAGCTAGCGATTCAAAATAACAGGATTGCGTATATATGTAAAACACTTGGTGTTTTAGTCCCTGCGCCCTGAGCCACTTTTTCAATGCAAGCGCTTAGATTATATTTTCGGGCACTTAATTGTTGTGAGATTACTACTACTTGCATTTTTACATCTATCTCAACATGCTGGTCTCAGCCAGTTGATCCACACGTCACAGGAAATTTGCATCGTTTCTTAGGCATTTGCAAAATTCACTAAAGCTTTGAACATCTCGAGCAAAGGAAGGCTACCCCCATTGATGACCATTTTGTATCCTCGCGACCGAGTAGAGCACACTGTATTTTTACTGGTTTAGTATGTCAGAAAGCAGGATGAGCAGCACTGGAAATTGCACTGCCTCGAACTACACGACCGATTGGATTCTGGCTATTTTATGAGACTCATGGAAGAGTAGAAGTCTATTTAAGCCATTATTTAGAAAGTTCTAATATCAGCTGAATGCTATAGGCAGATAGAACAAAGGATTGGATCCTAGTAATAAGTGTAGATCTTATGAAGATAGTGAAGTCAGAGATTATGACTGCCTGATCGCGCAGGCAGCCACTCAGACCCTCGAGGTGCCCAGGAACTTAACCTTGGAAGCAAAGTTCGATTGCTTTCACAACTGCCAGTTTTGGAATCAATATGGGGCTTAATCTCATGCAGGTCTGCTCGTGGTGCGTTGTTCCTCGGTTGGCCCCTGTTGTACGGAGTAATCTGGAAGAATATTTCAGCTAACAACTAATTAACCTGTGTAGGTATGGTGTTTTGGGGCGATCCTCTTGGCTGGGCATGGGCGGTTACTCGGGGTATCGATAGATAATTGCAGCACAAGATACTGGTATCATTCCAGTTCAATCTGATCTGCGTGTCTCATTGGTCCAGCAAGAAGAGCAACATCGCGGGATCTCGAAGACAAGCCCCACGTATATTGTACATCTAGCGCAGAATAATATGCATGGTCTAAATTTGGATATGGGACACGTCATGCACTAGTAGAGGCTTCAACACTTGCATACTGCATCCTAGCGGCTATGACCATTTTCTGTGCCATTGGCGGCTGGTATCTCGAACAGGTGGCTGCTTCTTATACTTGGGGGTATAAGAGAAGTCAAAATACCAGCTAATGCTTTGCACTCACTTTCATTTATCACATTTTATCTTTCTTTTGGTTCACGAAAAATAATAAGCATACACGAAACGAAGTACAACGCCTACAAAAGAAAATGAAGCTTCCAGAAGATCATATATTTTACAGCAATTGCAGTCTGGCACAAAGGGCGGAGAGATTTTTCGGAAGCTCTAATGTGAACGTTTCTTACATCAATGTTTCCCAAAATGCCGACTCTCAATTGTCAAAGGAGAAAGGAAATTTGGCAAGCTTCGAGGGCTATATCCTTCCAGAGCGTTCAATGGATGCTTTGACCGCGCAGCTTTGGAGAAATGGGCGATACTATTTTCGAATTTTGAAGGAAATGGAACGGGAAAACAACAGCAACTGGAAACGATTTTGTGCCACGATGGGGAGCCACCAGGCAATGTCCTGGCTAAGGCTAAACGAATGGCTGGAAGGGGCATTTCATCCTCAAGAGTTGGCGGATGCAGCCCAATCTGCTATAGATTCTGCGGATCTTCCAGGGAAGCCATCGATTCGGAACATATGGCTTGACTTGGTTCAATTCCCCGAACACGCGAAGCTGGACCAGTCCAGGTACCACCAACGGCTAGCTGAACTTTTTTCCGCCGAGTTCTGTGATACAACAATGCTTACCCGTCGTTTAGTAAGAGAAGAAAATTGGGACTTCCACCTTGAATGGTTTCTCCGACTGCTCACTTCGAAAAGACACGCGGCTCATGATCATGCTATGTGCCAGTCTATATCCCACGGAATCTACCACACGTCGCCGTTAGCACGAAATGATACTACTCCGGTTGTGTTGCATGTTGCGCCGAATGTGTACGAGCCGCCTCCGCACCTCAGCAAGGTCAATGATATATATCCTGTTTACTTATGGTGCATCTCCGAGAAACGGACAGTTGAAACCAAAACATTCAACTGTGATCAAAGGCCCGATTACGTCTGTGTCAGCCATACTTGGGGAAGGTGGAAGAAGGCGGCAGAGACTAAGGTGGAAGGCTGTCCCTGGGACATTCCACAAAATACTATGTTCGAAGTCATCGATCTTCCGACACAACTCGAAGCTCTTGGAGAGAGGTTAGAATTTCACTATGTCTGGCTTGACTTGCTTTGCATTCCGCAAACTAGAGAAGGCGAGCTAGGCAAGGTCGCTAAAGCCGAGATCTCTCGCCAGGCTGGTATTTTCGGAAATTCAGCGCTCTGTATTGCATGGCTCAATTACATACACGACTGGGGCAGAGAAAACGATATCGTGCACTGGCTGGCCCTCAGATACCTGTCTCTGACCACCAAAAAAAACCATTACAAGGAGAAATTAGAGCAACGTAGCCGACTGCAGTGGGAAAATCGAAAACTGGAGCACTCTAAGCTTGCGCTCCAAGGAGAGAGTCCGAATGAAATTCCCCTCTTTTGCTGTGAACAGCGATCACCTTGGTTCTCGTCACTATGGACCCTCCAAGAAGCAACTATTTGCCCGCATATGGTACTAATGTCTCGGTACTGGTCACCCCTGCAAGATGTCCGTGGCATACCTATCTCCTTGGGGACATTAGTATTATTAACCGAAACGGTGTTCAATCTTGGAATGGAGTTGCCACCCGATGGCGAATGGTGCAAACAGGAAGAGGAGTGCCGCACAGGCTTTTACAAGCCCGCATGGGAGTTACACGAAGTTTTCGTCTTATCTGGCTTCAAGGGTCCTGCATTCAGTTCTCGCACGATGATCCTTATACAGGGCAGCTTTCGAGAATGTAGTGGACGCCGAGCGGAAGCTATTATGTCAGCCTTGGATGTGAGAGAATGGTTCGAGTCCGAGACCAAACAAGATGACGATGACTTGGTCCTAGGAGTTTATCCACTTCGCTTCGTCAAGGAGGCTGCTCGAAAAATTGGCCCAGAGTTTGCTCTAGCAAAAACAGCCTACGATGAGCGTTCTACTGAGCTTTGGTTGAACCATGAGAAGGGACCAACACCACGCAAAGGCTCTCTTCTGCCGTTTGTTGACATATCATCAGAATCCTCACACGTTCCTGAGCTGTGGCCACTTAAGGTTTACGACCTAGACTGGCATTCAACTTTTGATTCGTGGGAATTTTTACCTACAGGATCTGTCCGCATTACGAAGGCCGTTATTGTGGGGCAGAGGACTCACCATGGCACAAAGGTTCTTCCTGGTCTTAAGGTTCGAATTTTTTGCGAATATCCACGGGCACACTATTCAAAGGGGGGCTTTTCTTTGGGTAATTGGTTGGCGTTGGGGGGAGGCAAAGGAGATACTTACGCTATTCAAATCTCAGCAGACCTTGGCTTGATTTTCAAAGGGGTTTGTGCAGAGGGTGAGCTCGGGAGCACAGATCTTTTGCCGCTTATCAAACTCGTCAAAGTGGGCTGTTTTAGCTTCACTGAAAGATTGCGAACTGAAAGATTGCGTGATTCTCATGTAAAGGAGGTGAATTGGATTGTACTCTAGAAATTGTTCCAAGAGATATTTGTTGACGGTCTTACATAGTAGGCCATGATGTTTGCTATCACATGCAAATATTCTCCAGAATCTCCAGAATCATCCATTAGTACATATAGTTTGAGGACATGGGGTCCGAAGAGGCTTGGCTAAGGCTAAAGGTGCCCAGAGGGTAGCTAGGGGCCCTCATTACGACCGAGTGTAGCAAGTATTCAATATACATTGTAGTGCGAGAGGGAAAGAGATAATTTATCAGGCAGATCCAGTTGTTAAGAGCTATTAGAGCTATAAGACCGCTAGACAGAATCTGAAGGAGTTCTAAGATAGCTGCTTCGATAAGGTGAAATAGAAAAGAGATGTGTACTATATGGATAGTATGAACTAATAGCTGCTTTTCCAGGGAGAAACCTACGATGACACCTAAATCTGAGATTAAGATTGAGATTGAGATAGAGATAAGAAAAAAGGACAGAAACTGGATAGAAATTGACATAAAAATTAGGACAATTAAATTCAATCTTCTTCGGGTACACATTATGAAGACATGGGCTAAAATAAAACAAATTACAATTTGGGATCTAGTCAATCGGACAAAGGAGGGAAAGGCCGGATGAAACTAAAAAGCAAGGTTAGCAACCCGATCAAATGGAACTGAAAGGACGGGAGCACATACTGAGCAGGACACTCATACCCAGCAGGGTTATTCTGAAGATAGAGTTGGTGATATTGCTCCGCATCCCACCACTGGCCTGCCGGCAGGACCTTGGTAGAAAGCGGCGTTTTATACCACTCCTTGCTGACTTTTTCTGTAATATTCTCCGCGATCTTCTGCTGCTCTTCTCCGTGTGTAAAGATCGCACTGCGGTATTGTGTGCCAACATCCGGGCCCTGCTGGTTTTCTGTTGTGGGGTCGTGCATGCGGTAGAAGAATTCGAGGAGCTGGCGGTAGGTCACAATTGAGGGATCAAAGGTTATCTGGAGGGCTTCGGCGTCTGTGGAGGCCAAAAGAAAAGAAAAATAAGCATTTGAAGATGCGATCGCGATAAGGAATTTCGCGCTAATTTAGTCTCAGATTGGATAGCACTTACGGCCAGTTGAACCAGAGCACACAGCTCGGTACGATGGCGACGAAATTACGCCACCGCAGTAGCCCACCTTGGCGTCAAGGAGGCCTTTGCCATTGCCGAAATTCTTGCGGTACATGTGCTCAACGCCCCAGAAGCAGCCAGCTGCTACGGTCGCGGTCTGTGTGCCTGACATTCTGCGGGATTGTGTTTCCGAGTTTAAAGAAAAAGCCGAGCTGGAGAAGGGACGGAAGAAGCGTGAGAAAAGGGTCGAAGCAGCCGGAGCGGCGAAAGTCATCTGTGGAAATTCTGGCGACGGTGGAGACGTACTTGATAAGTGGGGATCCGCGCTGGTTCGGCAAAGAAGCTGCACAGGGAACTGTAGATGGAAAGGGAGTTGAGTATAGATGTAAGAGTAATTGAATTGAGAAGAATAGAAAAAAAAAAATGTTCGAAGAAATAGAAGCTCGAAAATTGGAGCATTGCGATCGCGTCATTTCAGAACTTACAAAGCAGCGGGGAATTTCGACAGGGATTGGCTGAAGATCAGGGCTCGGCAACCCCATCCCGAAATTGATATTGTACAAATATGCCTAAGCTAAAATCCAACAATCCAGACCAAAATTCCATAAGAATTCGGTGTAACAAAAAAAAAGAAAGGTGGTATCTGCTACGCCAAACGCCAATTCTAAACAATTGAAAAAAAAAAAAAAGAAACACCAGAGTTCACTACCACTGTGAGTTGTGGTCAGCAGGAGGTGCTGCCATCGTACTGAGACGGATGGCATCTCTGCTGGATAGACTGATATTTCGAGGTCGACCGTCTCCACCTAATGTAGTGCGGCGTCCCGTGTGCTTCATGACTGGGAGAGTATGAGGACTCAAGACCCGATGCTTGACATCATGTTCTCTCTCGCTCTTGACCATGCGCCGTGCTTGCGATGCGGTGAACATGTGGTTGTCAGCTGGTGAGGTCGCGTGTGTGTTCGAAGTTGGGCTGCGACGACGGTGAACTCGCAGGGCATTGGAGGATGGAGTGTTGAACTGTCCACTAGCAATCCGCCCACTAGACATCCGTCGCATGGCCGAATTGATCTTGATTGCTTCTTCCTTGTCTGACTTCCAGTTGTCCCTGTTTTCAGATACAGGACTGCTCGAGAAGTTCCCGCTGGGACTACGGACTGCAATCCGCGATGGGCGTTCCGCCAAGGTGCGGTTCATAAAGCTGCTCCCTTCAATATCACGGAGGGGGAGCTCTCTCTCCTTGAAAGAGGAAGACTGGATGATGGTGGTGGTGCTAATGGTGAACTACCATTTCTCTTGGTCAAAAACCCTGCCTTAAAGCGACTGTTGTTCTTTTGAACGTTCAAGGTAGGCTCAGCGGATTCGGCAGGCTCGTCGGGGGTGGGGGAGACAGAACCCGATGGGCTTATAACTCTCGGGATGTTTCGTGGAATGGGAGATCCGGATCGAGGTGGCAACCATGAGTCTTCGAAGCTGGCTTCATCGGCAGAGTCGGCCTTCTTGGGGGTCTTTTGGAACTCGGTCAAAGTGCCATCTTCCTCGTCGTCCTTCCATCTGACAGATCGTTTGGGAACCTTTATCTGGGCTTTCTTTGGTGAGAAGCTGACACTCTTCCGGCCGACAGTGCCTTTACGGCGACGTGGAGAGCCTTTAGTTGGTGAAACAGGAGCAACAGGTGTGAGTGTGACTGGAGGGTTGGCAGTCGATACTGGTGGCAAGCTGACCAAGCTGAATCGCTTTTTTGTTTTCGTAGGGCTTGTAGGCCTGGCAGAGCTGAGGTTCGGGATCGAAGGCATAGTGCCATCTGGTTTCACCAGGTTGGTTGCTGCATCTGAACAATCCTCTAACATCTTTGTAAGGATGGACCGCCCCTTTTTTATAGCCTCGTTTGCAGTTAGTTGCATGATATCCTCGATGGAGTTCATCATCTCAAACTGCGCTTGCAAGAGAAGCTGCACAGCAGCAGCTTCTCCAGCCTTGTCCTGTTCTAACACGGCCGTCAAGGATTCGCGTTCTGCATTGGACCGAAGAAGATCTGCTTCCCGGTTCAAATTGGCGTAGTCGCTGTTATCGGTAATATCAAACTCCTGAAGTTGCTTTGCCGCGTTTTCGACCGCCGAGTTGACCGCTCGGTCCCAGGTGCTTTTTGATAATTTCTGGTTGTAATGATGTCTGCTACCTTCTAGTTCTAGAAGGATTCCCTGTGCAGATTTGCGAACGGCATATAGGTTCGATAATCCCTCCTCGGCCTCACGCGCGGCGCAAACATTATCAAAGGCAGCAACCCAAGACGATAAAATGCCAATTCTGCGGCCGATCTGCCTTAGTTTCAGCATGTTGTTAGTCTTCTCTTGCCTCTCGGGCAACGTGTGTTCATAAGCATTGCGAATTCGAGCAACACCCTCGCGCAGAACAGCCTCTTTCTTCTCGCCCTGCTTGCGGAACTTGACATAGGCCGCCTTTTCATGTTCCTTTGCCTGTGCTTTGAGCTCATTGATCAGGTTCATTTGCTCGTCGATCTTGACCAAGAAGTCCTTCACGTGTCGGTTGACATTGAAAACATTCCGTGTGACCTTGGTCTGAATGTTCTTCGCTCGATTCGCATATCGAAGAGTATTTTGGGTTTCATCAAAGTGCTGGCTTGAGGGGCTGACGCAGACAATCATGACTGTCTTGCAATTTCCACCAAGTGCAAATTTGAGTAATCGAGTGAGCTTGGAGTTTCGGTAAGGAATGTGATTGCGCTTTCGCGGGTCACAAAGTGCGTTGATGCAGCTTCCCAGGGACAGCAGAGACTTGTTGATATTAGCGCCTTCGAACAAACGTTCTCCTCTGTTCAGTGTCGCGCTGGCACGCTCACTTCCCGCTAAATCGATGATACTGAAAGTGGCCATGGTATGAGGCTCATTGACGTCGGCATTTCGGTCTTTTTGGGCGATGTTGATTTGAAGGACGGCGTGCGATCGAGATGAAGTGGCATTTGCTGCGGTAGGAGACATGGTGCGGCGCTCATTGCCTTGCATGATCATGTCCATTACCTCTCCCACACTTTGCGGGTGGTAACTTGATAGCCCAGCAACTGAGACTGACTGGTTGGAATCCTCCCGCAGCATCAATCCACCCTTTCCGCTGCTACCACTAGGGACAAGCAAGTCACGAATGGTTTCGTTATAGATCTCGAGGTAGGAAAGAGAAACTTCGGTCGACTTTTCGCCTGCTCGTTCGTCGATCCGCTCAAACAGCTCCTGCATGGTAAGAAAGATGATGCCAGGCTGCTGGGCGGTTCCGGTAATTGTATGGGTCTTTCCACATCCGGTAGCTCCATACGCAAATACCGTGGCATTGTATCCGTCGAGCACGTTGTCGAGCAGGCTTCGTGTTGTCGATTCGTATACCTCTCCCTGTGAGGCATTTTGGTCGAAGATGCGATCGAAGGCGAAGGTCTGGTCCTTGACGCGCTTACCGTTGGGCACCACGCTCCTGGAGAACTTTTGGACAGGATTGTCCTCTGGGGGTCAAACACCCTAGTCCAGTTAGGATGTTGGACCCAATATTCAAAAAGCACAGAATACTCACAAGCATCGGTCGTCAATTACTTTAACGATAGATCGTATACCCTTCTGGTTAAGCTTCGGTGTCGGGGCACCCGCGAGGGAACCGTCGCCGAGGAACAGGGGACCCTCGTCACATCGTGTGATCTGAGCTGCCTCCCTGATAGTAAAAGGACGGACTCTGACTGCAACGCTGATCGAGGAAGCGCCGTCGGAGGCAGCCATGTTGGAAGGTCGGGTCGGACCAACCCCAAGTCGCGAAGCTGTTTTGCGGGGTCGGTACGTCAGGCAGTTGGCGACACCCTGCAATGGCAAGGCCAAGGGGGAAGCTTAGGTATTTAGTGTCGAAGATAAGGAATGTAAAAGAGTCGAAGAATGGGTCTAAAGTTGTATGGGGTAGGGGGTGCAGTATTCTCCGAGGGGGGCTCCTTGAAGCGATTTCATTTGTTGATGCGTGTGCATGTTGTCATCTAGTGGTTGCTCCGAGCAACCGTTTTGTAGTGGAGTTTAGTGATTTGAGAGTGGCAATACAACTCTTTCAATACTTAAGAGTTCCGAGTCACACGATATGAGTGTCTCACGTACTGCACACATCCTTCTTGTTTTATTCACACCTACTATTTTCTTATTCAAGGTCACGACCAAATCGTGGCTAGTATTAGGCTTTTCATAGTATTACCCTCAGGATGCTTAAGCAAAAGCTATGGGAGGTGATCATAATATTATTATGACATCCACTATCACTGCAACGATTCCCTAAAAGTACTTACACTAGGTAGAAACGCTAGTTATTTGTATCAAAAAAGCGTGTAACTATATTTATTCTAGAGATATGGGCAAGCTATGAACGTAAGAAACATCACATTTGGTGTTGATGCTGTCCTAATACCTTTTTTTCGCCTGAACAAACGCCATGTGATGGTTTGAATCACTAAAACCCTCCCCCTGAAACGCCAAAGGCCACAGACATGTATTTTTTGACCTAATCCTTTCTTGCAAGTCATCCATATTGACCACCTGGGGATATCATGCTTGGTCGTCTTCATAGGTCGGCATGACGACATCCCAGCCTGGATCCTCACCATCAAGGTCCATATCAAGACCGCCATTCTGACCTTCACTGGATTTGTGGAATCGGAAGGCGATTGAATGTCCATTTTGAAGACCCGCCTCCATTATAGTTACTGACTCATTCTGTAACTTTACATCTGCCTGGAGGCGCTTCCAGCCTTTCTCGAGGTCCACTCGGTCGACAGGTTCACCGAACTCAATGTTGCACGAGTCGTCAGGAAGAAGGTCGCCATTTATGTCCTTAATATCTCGCGATTTCAAAGCATCCAGAAGCCTTTCTTTGGTGGAGTCGAGTGATTCGTGTGGTTGGAGCATTAGAAGGACAGTGGTTTTATGCTTTTTGAAGAGGATTGTCACAGCGCGCGAGTCGGTTTTGGATTGCTTGGGCGGCTGCTCGGTAATTAGTCTGTATTTGATAATCTCTATTTGAAAAGACCAATTTTCACATACCATCTTGAAGATTGCAAGGGAATTAAAGCGTAGGTCGCGTCCGTGTAATTGATTTGGGAGAGTGACGGAAGGCGGAGAATCCAGCGGGACTCCCGCCTTCCGCGCTCCGAATTTCTGAGCTTTACCAGCATCGGTTGCTCACATTCACCACGTTCTCTACAGTTAGACTGTGAATTTTATCGCTACTTGCCTCATTTCTCATTTACAGTCTTCATCATGGAGGCCAATCACCCCCCGTCTACCGACCCGCGGCATAATTCCATCGTGCTCAAGCTCGTCCACTGGGACAAGCTGTTTGAATCCGACAGCCCTCCACGATTAGGCATTGAGTTCGGCAAGCGGTTGCCGTATGCTACCATGTCCGCTTTCTCAACTGGGTTGGCACTAGGATACTACCACGGCAGCAAAAAGGCAGGGCTTGTGTTTCGGGCAGAGAATGCGCATCGTTTCCCCACGACATCAACAGGGTGGTTCCAATATCATAAAACAAAAAACTATGTTGGTGTGGTTGGAGGTGTTAAGGATGGCATGAAGATGGGATTCAAGCTCGGTGCCGGCGCATTTGCATTCTGTCTGTTCGAGGAGACAGTAGACTATGCTCGGCATGACAAGAGAGACTTTTTATCGACAGTCACTGCTGGGTTGTCATTCTCCGGAATATACAGCTTGCTTGGTAAGGACACCATTCCGCCTGGGCATCATTACTAGAGGAACCAAAGCTGACCTAGCTCGCCCACACAGCTCGTCACGATGTCTATACTGCCGCTCGCACAGCGAAGCTTGGGTTGAAATTGAGCTTGACATATGGTCTTTTACAAGATGCCCTTGAGACCTTGAAAGGAAACCGCCCTGCCTACGTTAATTTCTTCCTCGGTAACCGTCGGTCTAAGGTCGAGAAGGAAGGATCGATCTGATCATAGGTGGGCCCATGCCACAATGGCTCCCTAGATCCTTCTGTGCCACGGAGGTCCCAGTCTCGCGGCAGGTTTGAGATGTCCTCAAAGCTGAGAACCAATGCTGTAGGCTCTCTCACTTCACTCTTCAGGACGCTCTTCGACGTTCGAGCAATGGCTGCCATGTATGCTGCTGCAGGTGGTAGGCATTCGACACCGGTGAGATGCATCGCATATCCGAGTCAACCTTGGAATGCCGCCCCAATTACTACGTCCTGGGCCTCATCAAGCCACTCTGAGATATTTAGTCCGGTGATCATCCTGGCCTTTCTCCGTCTGATTGTGTTTCTTGGCAGCAACGCTCACGCCACACTCTTGGTCACTTGTATTATTTGCAATTTTTTTTGATACCCACTTGTCCAACTACATAGCATCAAACAAGATGAACAATTTTGCCCTTGGGTTGCTACATGGACACGTGACCCACGGCCGGATTCTGTGTTGGAGTATGATCACGCCGTAAGTTGATTGGTAACGCCATTGTGGCGTGACTAGATTGCATTTGGACTAGAATACTGTGAGATCTCATAAACCATATTTGAAGTTCAACGAGTTAAGGGGTTATTAGGGTACAGAGTACCCCTGGAGGTAATAAAATATAACCTAAGGGCAACTCCGCCACATAAAGATGTATAGAATATAGTAAATCAGCTCAAGATCTTGACAACGGAGCACGTATATTTTCCCAAGCCTTTTTTTTTCTCTTTGTCTCCAGGTATAAGTAAAAAGATAGAGAAGATCGGCCCGGATGCTGCAGGTTCAAAGGATTGACCGCTTAGTGAGCTTAGTGACGTCCCCCACTTTTTTTTTAACCAAAAAAAAAAAAAAAAAAAAGAAAGAAAAAGTCTTCTAGATTGAAATTCCTCAAGTAGTGTAGTAATTTAGAATCGAATCAAAATCTCAAAGTGGAGGTTCTCATAGAGTTTCCGAAGGTTCCCAGCTGATCGGTGGAGAAACCGCACTTGACGTCGATTCGGAAAACCCCCCACCTCACTGAAGACCTTAGCTCAAACTTATCGTCTCTGACATTTTTTTCTCCCCCAATCTCTGCTTCTCTATACCCTACATCCATGTCTGTCTGTTAAACTCCGTGATAGCAACCCATTGGGCGCTGAAAATGCCGATGCGAAGTTCGACGCTGCTTTCGTCGACGTCATCGATTTATTGACTTCTTTATGTCTGGGAGAAATAATTGAACCCATCCCACATCCTCATTCAGAATAACTTGATCACAATGCGTCGCCATGGCAGGTCCAGTGGTGGTCCAACAAAGGCCGTCTCGCCCTTGTCCGACACCGTATCCCTCATACGTTCGTTCGATTCGGTCATGAACCCAAACCGACCCGTGCGCCCTTCGCCCTTGGCCTCCTCCCACATCAAAGCTTTACCTTTGGAACTGATAGATCGGTTGCGGTCTTTCCCTCTGTTTCAAGCTACCCCAGAATCCTTTTTGATCGAGGTCGGACAGCACCTGCGCCCACAGCTCCATGCACCCAACGATTACATCTTGACGGAAGGCGATGAGGCAAAGGCAATATACTGGCTGGTGCGGGGTGCCGTTTCGGTCACGTCTCGGGATGGTGAGAGTATATACGCCGAGCTCAAACCCGGTGCTTTCTTCGGGGAGATTGGATTGCTCATGGACCGTCCTCGCACTGCGACAATTATCGCCCGGACTCGATGCATGCTGGTCGTGCTGACAAAAGACGACTTTCGGAATATATTGCCTCGGTTTCCGGAGGTCGAACGGGCGATCCGGGAGGAGGCGCAGGAGCGATTGATGATTTTAGAAAAGAAAAAGAAAGAAACCTCCGCGCCTGCGCTAGATCTACCGAGCCCGGCGCGAAGAGGCTCAAAAAGACTGCGTGAGAGCTTTTCGAAGGATCTAGCCGTTGCAGAGGATGATGGGGATTCGAGTGCCAAGTCTGTGTACAAGAAGAGGAAGTCACCGAGCCCCGGTCGGCGGGATGGCTCCAGTGCATTGGCAAATGGATTGGTCAACGTACGTCTCTTACTTAAAGAGCTGCCGCTTTTTTCTGGGTTGCCTGCCGATATCCTCCACTACCTTGGCCTCAATGCCCAACCGCGATCTTTCCCTCCATTTACCGACATCATAAAACAAGATTCCCAGGGCCGTGAGCTCTACTTCATTGTTCGTGGCGAAGTAGAGGTTCTTGCGGAAAAGGACCATTCGTCAGCAAACAAAAACAGCCCAAATGGGCTCATTGAACGGCCAGGAATCGAGGTCAAAGCTAGGCTGAAGCAAGGCCAGTACTTTGGCGAAGTGGTCAGCCTAGATTTAGCACCTCGGAGAACTGCTACAGTTCGATCTGTGACTTCAGTTGAGTGCTTGATGCTCGGCGGTGACGTTCTTGCTGAATTCTGGGAGAAATGCCCTAGTGGCGTGCGGGAGCAAGTCGAACGCACCGCCCAAGCAAGACTCCAAGCGGCAGCCGATGGCGATGTTGTCATGTCTGACGAGGCAGAGCCGCAACCATCTATGGGTAATCTCGCCCTTGACGACAGAGTAAAGATCACCTCATCACGGCGACGTTCAATGCCACTACTTACTCTCACTGAAACCGAACTCGATGGACCACATCAGTCCTCGCGCGTTGAAGACGAAGAACAGGATGTGTTACGGCCCTCCGATCCCGACCCTTACTTCAGCATGGGTCTTGATAAAGTCAGGATGCGAAGTCGACGCGGCTCGCTGGCACCGTTAGCCCCCGAAGAGGTATCAGGGGAGCAGCAGCGGGCATCTCCTATTGAGCCGCGCTCTGCCACTTCTTCAACCCTCGCCCTGCCCGAATCTGCCAACCTCTCCAAGTCATATCAGACCGAACGGCCCCGGATCGATGGCTCCAATGGATTACTTCCGGACAGTGTACTGCTAAACATTTTTCAATTCCTTGAGCTCCACCATCTTCTTCGGATTAGGGCAGTGTCCTCCCATTGGTCAGAGCTCTTGACAAGATCTGCGGACGTCGTACATGATCTAAATTTGAGCGTCTACAACCGGAGAATTACAGATGACGTTCTTATTAAGATCATTTGTCCCTTTGTCGGCAATCGAGCCCGATCGGTCAATATCAACAATTGCTTTCACATCACCGACGAAGGCTTCACGGCATTGGCTGCGACTTGCGCCCCGAATACCACCGTGTGGAAGATGAAGAGTGTGTGGGACGTCACGGCCTCTGCCATTCTTGACATGTCTAGCAAGGCTACTAATATGCAGGAGGTAGACTTGAGTAATTGCCGCAAGGTCGGAGATACACTTCTTGCCCGGATCATTGGATGGGTAGTACCCGCCGACCAGAAGATGGGTGAGAAACAGTCATCGATCAAACCTACAATTCAGACAGCAGAATGTACAGTGTACGGCTGTCCAAAATTGAAAAAGCTCACTCTCTCGTACTGCAAACATGTCACCGATCGATCTATGCATCACATTGCGTCTCATGCCGCTGGTCGGATTGAGGAAATGGATTTGACTCGTTGCACCACAATCACAGATCAAGGGTTCAAATACTGGGGGAATGCTCAGTTCACCAACCTACGAAAGCTTTGCTTGGCGGATTGCACGTATCTGACGGACAATGCCATCGTCCACCTAACCAACGCGGCCAAAAACCTGGAGGAATTAGATCTGGTAAGTCTAGTCATTGTTGAGCTCTGCCAAACTAAAAGCGAAATATCATGGTTTACTAACCGCTGCCAGACGTTTTGCTGCGCATTGTCAGACACGGCAACTGAGGTCCTTGCATTGCAGTGCTCACATTTGAAGTATCTCAACATGGCGTTCTGTGGCTCCGCAATTTCCGATCCCTCCCTCAGAAGCATTGGTCTTCATCTACTTTCTCTTCAACATTTATCGGTCCGTGGCTGTGTTCGAGTCACTGGGGTTGGTGTCGAGGCCGTCGCGGAGGGCTGCCATCAACTCGAGGTTTTTGATGTCAGTCAATGCAAGAATCTCGGACCCTGGCTTGAAGACGGTGGTGCTATTCCCTACCAGCCGAGAATCGAATTCAAAACTGTCGCCCCTAACAAGAAGATTCCTCAATGAACAAGCAACCCATACAAAGCTTGACCTTTCTCATTGGACACCCCTACCTCGGTTTCTATACCGTTACTTTTTCCTCCACGGCGCCTAGAGTGACCCCCATCCTCGAAGTTGCATGATACATTTATTGGCACATAATGTATGCCTCCCTAATCTTTGTTAATTTCTAGGCTCATGATTTTCTAGTTTCTGCTTTGCCATCGTTAACTGATCTCGGCGTTTGAATTTACCTGGACAATCTTCTTCACTTTCGGATTACATTCTTCTGGGCTGCAGGTTCTTGTTTTTACATTTTGGTGGGGGTTTCGGGTCTAGCCCGTGGGCAGGCCAAGCATGGAGTTCAAAGACGGAAGGCATCAAGTACATGGGGTCTATTTCTTTTCCTTAATACTCAATGTTCTTGGGCTATCTATCTTTTCTTACGACATAACGCACATCTGATTTGACATTTGCTGTATCTTAGGATGCTATCTATTTCTGTATCTAAAATTAAATGTAGAAATTTACTTGACTATAAGCCGAAAAGTCTTGAAACCCATGCTCTTTCTATTTGAATAGAGGCAATGCCAACGCATACATTCGGCATAGAAGCTCTGGTGGTCTTCCCAGGGGAAACTCACAGTATGAGGGATATGCAGTTGAGAGACATCCTTTAGCATTTGGAAAGTGAGCCGTGTGCTTCTTTCATCCGTCTGTTTCGCTATTTGATAATAGATCCTAGGATCAGTGAGAAAGGTTGGATAGTCACTATGCAATGCGTGAAATACGTGGCGATCGACACACGCAATTGCAGCACCAATTAAGGCTGAGAAATTCACTTCGGGGGTCCTAAGACTCTAAGATTTATCCCAAACTAGAAAGACGTCCGAGGAAAAACAGAGAAATGCGCCAAGAGAATGCTGACCGGCGTTAAAGAACGATTGGGCTTAAGGTTTAAGGTTTAACTTCAGAATGTCGGAGATCCTAGGTTTACATATTGCCCCTGTATTCTCCTTTCAATTGGCTAGAAAAATATATATGAGCTTGGGCGTTTGTTAATTCCGTAAATGTCGAGAAGAGTGCGCGGGAATAAGTCCGGGGTTAAGGGAGAAACGCCAGAATATCGAAAAGTTAAGCAACCCCAGAGACCGGTGGCAATAGTTGATTCATAAAAACTGTAATTGACAAGGGCGTAAACTAATCTCTGGATAGCAAAATATGACTTGCTTGTATATAAGGGAGATCTCACCTGCCTGTCTGAACAATCTGAATTCTGTTGATATCTCTATTACCGCATAATTTGCTGTTACATATCTCTCTCAAAATGTCGCAAAAGCAAGACCAAGTGATCCTAGTCACCGGTTCCTCTGGCTTCATTGCCACTCATATCGTGGAGGACTTTCTTCGTGCTGGCTATCATGTTCGCGGAACCGTCCGCTCATCCGCCACGGCCGAGCTGGTCCGCCAAAGCTTCTCTCAATTTACACCTCGATTGAGTTTCGTGATTGTGGAAGATATGGGCAAGCCAGGAGCATTTGATGAGGCAGTTCAAGGTGTTCAAGGCGTGATTCATACCGCAACCCCATTCCAAATCTTCAATGTTGCGGACAATGAGCGCGATCTACTCCGTCCAGCCATTGACGGAACCATCAACCTCCTCAACTCCGTGCTCAATCATGCTCCTGAAGTAAAACGCGTTGTCGTCACTTCTTCTTTCGCCGCCATGGTAGACATCACCAAGGGCTCATGGCCAGGTCACGTTTACTCCGAAGCCGATTGGAATACGACACCCTACGAAGTCGCAGCCGCTAAAGGCGCTCCGGCTGGTCTGGCATACACTACTGCTAAGGCCTTAGCTGAACGTGCTGCATGGGATTTTATGAAAAGCAACAAGCCCAATTTTGATCTCGCAACAATCATGCCCCCCATGGTGTATGGCCCTAATATCAATGCCACTGCCAGCTTGGCCAAGCTGAATACCTCCTCTTCTGATATTTACCGCCTGATTTCATCTCAAACCAAATCTTCTGATGAGGTCCCGCAAAATATGTTCTGGTCATTTGTGGATGTTCGTGACGTTTCAAAGGCCCATCTTCGTGCCTATGAGGTTCCTGAGGCCGGCGGCGAACGTTTTTTCGTTTGCACTGGTAACTTCACGTATCAGCAGTTTGTTGACGCTCTTCGTGAGAGGATTCCTGAAATCCAAGACCGTGTGCCTATCGGGAAGCCGGGCACTGGAGCTGTCCCGTCGAGCGTATACACCATTGACAATACGAAATCACAGGAGGTCCTGGGTATTCAATACCATGCGCTTGAGGATACTGTTGTTGATGCTGCACGTTCTCTTTTGGAACTGGAGAGAAAATCTGTCTAGGTAGTGCATAGGGAGACCACGCTAGATCAATTGATGTATACTGACTCGTTAAGTCAATCCTTGATATCTATGGCTCCTTCCTATCTTAAATTGGAAAGTTATTCCCACACGGCACCCCGATCCCAAGAACCTTAACCATTATACCTACAAAATCTATATACCCCTAGCCTTAGAAGTCATAAAGACAAACTTCAACTTATAGCCTAATAATGGCCTTTGTGGCGTCTTTTCTGCTGGCTTTGTTATCCCTTTTCTTTAGCAACTTTTATAGGGCCTTGTCTCAGCCCGTTTGAGGTCGGATGTGGACATTCATTGAGATAAAGACAAAGGGTCCAACAATTCATTATATTATGCTCTGATGTACCTTTCTTCTCTCCGCCATGCCCTTTCTATCTATCCCCTAATTTCTATTTTACTTGCTGTTGCCATAACCTGTTTTCACTCGACCTTTTTAGCCTGGCAGAAATCCCAATCCATTGATTGAGCACCACATGCTTTGTTCTATAGATATATGATAATTTATCGCCATCAATCCCTACGCTGGTTTGAAAAACAACAGACAGCGACATCCCAGGCAGTTACAATGGCGGCTACTTTGGTATCTAGCGCGCTCAACACACTGTCTATACTCTGTCTTCAGCTTCTGTGTATCTCACAAGGCCTGGATTTCTTTTCTCTATGTCCATCTTATGTTTTTTTGGGCTGTCGTCTCACGATATTCTCGCTGTTCATTCATATCCTTTTCACTATGTTTACATGGTGATATTATAGATAGTGCCTCTTACAGTTCATCAGCTAGCTGATCAAGACAGGGCGCTAGTCCAGCCTAAACAGAGCACGTCCCTTCCAAAAGCCCAGCTTCTTCCTCATACTTGGCGGAATCTTCAGTTTGAATCATCCTTCTCCTGATCTCCTTAGTAGCCCAATAATAACAAAGATCCTCTGAGATTTTTTGATATATTGATGTCATTCACTCCACTTTCCCATGTCGGATTTCTTGTTTTAATTTGAAACAATTGATGCATGTTGCCAAATTCAACCCGTCCATCGATGTATTCGATATATTGCATAAGTCCCACACTTGTCATCTTCTTCGATGCCGTTCCGTGCTTCCTCTTACGAGACTGTTGGCTTATCTGGCTCCAATGGCACCTTGGCTCCTCTTCGCCTAGCATATGTAGGTAGTATACATATCATATCACCTATCTATGATCTATCATCTAGTAATTTTGATGGGGATGTTACATGAATAATACCTGAAAAACTTTGTAAGAAATATAAGCTACAGGTAAAAACAAGTGAGGGAATACAAAAGACGGAGATTTCTTGGAAGAGACTTGAGAGGCAGCACAAACCAGCCATAGAAATCATGGAATATTCCCACGAGTACCTTCAATATTCTAAGGCTTCTCGGGGCAGCATAGGCAAGAAGCTAAAATCAATAAGAGCAAAAAGAAAATTGCCCCTATTAAAAAGAAGGACAAATCTCAAGGGCATCCTAACACGCTTTTTTTCGGCCATTCAATATCTTTCAATATTTCAGATAACATGGCGAAAAAGCAAAACAAAACAATCTGCAGAAATCCATGTAGAATGCAAAACAAACGAAAAGAGCGAGGAAATGGTCACTTGCAAATGATCACCTCGGAATATTTCTCGAAAATTGCCCTCAGATCAATAGGACGACGAGAGGTCTGAGAGTCATCATCAGAACTGACAAACAAGGCCTTAAAGTCCGGGCGAATGCTCTTCGCTGCATTTCCCTGGAAAACGACATCGTCGTCTTCCAAGTCCTCGGGTTGAGGATTTTGGCCAGCCCGGCGATCAAGGTCACCTGAAAGAACATCATTTTCTTCTAGATGAGTATTTCTGTTGGTATCTGTGTCGGCTCCACCTGGAAGGATGACAGCCAAATCGTCGTCAAGATCAACCAACACGTCCTCGGTGAAACCTCCTGTGCTGGTCAACACAGGGAACTCCTCAATGGAATCGCCTTTTTGGCTCTCGGTCATCCCATTCGCCTGCTCTTGTGCTTGTGTACAAGGTGACCCGCCCTCAAGGGAGTCGCACGCAGGCGAACCTGGTGGCTGTGGCTGGGAGGGGACTGGGACTGGGACTGGGACTGGGACTGGGACTGGGACTGTGACTGTGACAACGCCTTCTTCAACCACCGGAGGAGAGCAGTAGTTGCCAACGGCGGAGTCCGGACCTGATAAGGCGGCATCAGCCGCAGTAGCAATGGTTTGGTGGAGGGATCTGTCGTCACCGTCTACCCGGACTAAACCCCCGGAGCTGGCTCATCGCTGCCTACAGCAGCGGGCTCCTCTGGCAAGTGCTGCGTTTCCTTTGATCCGATATGGCCTGAATTTGCTGCTTCCATTTCTGGTACCATATTTGGGGGCAGTTGGACTAATTCCACGTCGTCGTCAAAATCCAAGAGCACGCCAGTTGGCGGCGATGCTCCTGTCGCGGCAGCTCGAACTCGAGGGGCTTTTAGGACGGCATCAGGGCAGGTTGACTTGCTCGCTATGGCTCTAGATCTACTTGTTGTTATTGTTGTCCGAGCCTGGGGATTTTGTCCGCCACTAGCGCGACTTGCAGGGGCTTCAGTCCTGCTCCTGTTGATCTGATGAGGTCTGCGGCCGCCATTGTAGGGCTCGCGGGGGGTTCTGTGTCTGAGGCCACTGGATGGAGGCTGTTGGTAATATAATGTTAGTATTCAGAGCATAATAGTTTGTTATCACCCAGTACTCACAAGGCGGGGAAGCTGCTCGTCTCGAAGTCCAGGGCAGGGAGTATTAAGGAAATATCTGTTCTCGAAGAGAAGTGCGAGCCTGCCTTCTATATTGCACAACTCAACTGCCAGCAGGATCTCATCATTTTCCAAAAGCTGTTTGTCGAGAAAGTTAGCGCATAAGTCTGAAGTAAATATGAGGGAAATAGTTGTGACTTGCCCAGCTATGGCATTCGCGGATAAGGGACTGAGCCTTGCGCATTCGGTCCAATGTTCGAGCGGCCATTTCGAACAGCAAGTGTGATGTTATGCGGAAGTAAAGGTGCAATGAGAAGATCAAGATATGTGGATGCTGGGTGCTTAATGCCGAGAAACTGCAGCTAAATGCTGAAGCTAGTGGTAAAGGCGTGGGAGGGAATGAAAAATGAGGAATTTTTCAAACTGTGCATGCAGTTGTTGAAGCGTACTGTTGAGACTTAGCCACATGTGATAGAAGGCGATGGTTGATGAGAGACTCGAGGGAAGATCTAAAGAATGCCTATTTTATACCTCAACCCTATAGTGCCGTCGCCACTGCATAACTTTTAGTTGAGGTCTGATCCTATAGACTTTTCCTATGCGCTGCTTATGGCCTCACCCTATCACCTCCCTTGTGTCCTCTGTCTTCCTACTTGTAAGCACTCCTATGTGTACTTCGATATCCCTGAGCTATATGATCTTAAAGGGATTCATAGATATGGTTATTATAAAAGTTGTTCAAGAGAACTAGTATACAAGTCATATTACACGTTTTGTTATATGCTCAGATCCTGTATTTCCAGCCTCCTATTGATAGTTTTAACTGCATCTCTAACATATGGAACTATCTATCTCACTTCCGATATCCCTCACTTCTCAACCACCCATTATACACAACACTTCTCTTCGCCTGAATGCTCAATAGTCAAAAGACGATGCTCTCAGCCTCACATTCCACCTATGCCACAGCACCGTGTCGCACGGAAATGTACAACTAGCCCATCAGAGTCAGCAAATCATGGAGAAATTGACCTCGGCTCGATCACTGGTCCTTGAGAGCCACTAATTGGCAATTCACATTATTATAGTAATCTAAGTCTTGAGGTGCCGCCCCATTCGGTGACCTATCTGCCGCTTCTCCTTTCACCAAGTATCTCAGAACCAGCCTGTTGTTGGTGGGTTTGACTATAGCGCTGGGCAATCTGCTCATCTTTATTCAATCAGCCTACATACATCAAAATCAACAATCTTCAAGACTTCAGCCCACTTCCACAACTACAGGATGAAACTTGACATAGCTCATCCACCAAACAACTAGTGATGTGAAGGGTCGCCCCGCCAGTATATGAATTACTGCTTTTTAGCTCATTTTCCAGCATTCTTGTTCAATGGCAGGTGATGGTTCAAAGTACTAGTAAATCCATGATCTTAAATATATATAAGTACGAACAAAGATTATGGAGTAGATACAGGGGCACTAAAATAGAAACGCCAACCCAACACACTAGCTCATGGAATTTGACGCACAAATTCAACATGGAGAAAACGTGTCTTCACATGTTTTAAATTCGACTAGGTCTGCGAATGCACAGGTCTGATCTTCCATCAGACAATGCCATCATGCAGTCTGATCAAAACCAGTTTGACTGCAAAAGCAAATAGTCAAATCCCCTTACATTCCCTCGTGACACATTCTTGGCTTCCGAAAAGTGTCCATAACAACAGTCGAGATATCATACCAATTTGGATCTAATGCCTCGTAGATCGGAGATTGCCACATTTAATTCTAGAAAGATATCTGAAAACAATCGGTGGCAAGGGGGTGTAGGTAAAGAGTACCTGTCCGCGGGTCCCGTGGACGGGCTATTCTTATCCGTTATCGGTTTCCCCCTTTTATCGCCGCACTCAGCCTCGCATAACCGGCATAACCGAAAACGACCACGATCTCTCGCTTTTACGCCCGTGCCCGACACTAGCGATCTGCGTTCCTGCCCAGTGCTTGGTGTGTCCACCGGTGCCTGGCGACTGGCTGACAACCGAGGCATATAAGGTTAGCTAGACATGGATCGCCGTTTTAATAGGCAGGGGTAGATTCACACTCTGTTCAAGTCTTGGGATTGAAAGTGAGCTTCCTAGTGCGGAATACGGGGCCTTGGTGCCGAGCGCGCCGAGAGGGAATATTGTGTAGCGAGTTCCTTGGAAGCCGGCAGCCTAAATGTGAGGCTTCGCATAAGTAAGATTATCGAATTTTGGGGCTGATACCTACTCTTTGTCCTAATGGTCACATTATTTTTTGGCCTTCACTAAATAGAATTCGCTAGGCCTAATTGGTTCGGCTTAAGACGCCCAAAGAGCGGGCATCGGAAGTCCGAGTCACTCCCTACAGGGGTATCGAAAGTGTACATTGCAATTAAAGCAAGACTATATAATCTCCAATATAAATTGTAACAGAATTGTACTTCATATACAATTCGGAAAGTGCAGATCAATTGTAAAGTGCTCCGCAGATTTAAAGGAAAGAGAAAGCGGAAAGTACCAATGCTCGCGCTAGTACTGTATAGGTACAGCAATTTCCGACTACAAACACCTGGGGATGTCTCACTTAACGGTCACGCAGGGTAATTTGTGAATCATTGGTCAAATATATTAACTTAGTAAAATTACCCTTTGCAGGGGATGTGATTTGTTTTTTTGTCATACCACCTTTGATCCAGGAGTACTTATTCAGATTATATGTATCAACTCCCTTGGTAGATTGCTATACCAAAATTAAATCATCTAATACCAATACCACGCACAGACGGAAGTGCCCCGAACTTCTCCATAGAAAACAGAATAAATAATAAATAAATAAAAAGGGACAAACACCCAATCAGAATCGGGTTTTAGTTAGAATTGACCCTTTTTTAACTCCGACCCATGGACCCTCCCTTCCAGGGTTGACGGAGTCCATCCTAAATAGGTATAGCGTATGCTGATTTATGTTTTTTTCCATGTTTTCAATGTTTTCAATGTTTTCAGTCCATGGAATATCAGTATTAAATAACTAATTCGCCCCCCCTCTCTTCATTCCCCAGCGATCTTTGAACTGCTTTCGTTCTGTTCTAATTTTTTGCCCTCGCAGTGAATATAAACATTCACTTGCTGCCTGTCTTTTAATATACCCCCTTTTTTTTTTGGATTCCCCACACTTTCCCTCGTTTACCTGTGGCTTGGATTCAAATTCTTCATTCTTTCATTTCCGCTGTACATACCAACTGTACATAATGGTTCGCTTTGTGACACCTTTGGTCCTGGCCTCGCTGTCATTGACCGCTTTGGCCGCACAATCTTGCAACAACAGCAAGCAGTGCAAGGATGAGAAATACCCCTGCTGCTCTCGTGAGTGAATTCCATTCAAGACCACAATTTGTAGCTAACGGTCTATTCAATACAGAATATGGTGAGTGTGGTACGGGCGCCTACTGCCTTGGTGGTTGCGACCCTCTCGCCTCCTTCTCTCTCGATTCATGCGCCCCTATGCCCGTCTGCGTGAGCAAGACTTACAACTGGGACAACCTCGACAACTCCATCACCCAGGACAAGTACCTCGGTAACGCCAGCGCTGCCGATTGGACCTACAGCGGAAAGGAGGTCAAGACTGAGGATGGCAACCTGATCATGACCATGCCTGCCAAGAGTGTCGGTACTCTCTTCGCCAACAACCACTACATCTGGTACGGCAAGGTTTCCGGAAAGTTCAAGAGCTCCCGCGGCAAGGGTGTCGTGACTGCTTTCATTCTTCTCTCCGATGTCAAGGATGAGATCGACTACGAGTGGGTCGGTTCCGATTTGACCGCCGTGCAGACCAACTACTACTGGCAGGGTGTTCTGGACTGTAAGTTAAGAGAAGAAATATCTGATCCGTATCATCAATACTGACATAATGAACTAGGGCACAACAGTGGCAACGTCAGCGTGGAAGGTGAGGATACCTTCAACGACTGGCACACCTACGAGATCGACTGGACTCCCGAGAAGGTTGACTGGATCGTCGACGGCACCGTGGCCCGCACCCTGAAGAAGGCCGATACCTACAACGAGACCTCCAAGCAGTACGAATTCCCCCAGACACCCGCCCGTCTTCAGATGTCGCTCTGGCCCGCCGGTCAGCCCAGCAACGCCCAGGGTACAATCGACTGGGCTGGTGGTGTGATCGACTGGAACAGCGAGGATATCAAGAATGTCGGTTACGACTATGCCACCGTTGGCGAGGTCACCGTCAAGTGCTACGATCCTCCTTCCGATGCCACCAAGAAGGGCTCCAAGGCCTACGTCTACACCGATGCCGCTGCCATGGAGGGCGACATCTCCATCACCAACAACTCCACCGTTCTTGCCTCCCTCGGCGCCACCGGTCTCGACATGGATCTCGGTGCTGACAAGTCAAGCTCTTCCACCTCTAAGAATTCTTCATCCACCTCTGTGTCCAACAGCATCCCTACTAGCAAGGGAGGTTCCGGTGGCATGACCAGCAATGATTCCGATGGTTCCAGCTCCAGCTCCAGCTCTGGCACTTCCACCACCGATAACGAGGAGACTAGCACTTCCTCGGGCTTCACCCAGGGTACCACCACCCAGGACAGCGGTGCGGCCGGTCAGAATGAGCGTGTCCTCCGTGGATCGCTCTTTGGAGTCCTGGTGGCTCTTGTTGTCCTTGTGACGCTATAAATATTTTGCTGAACTGACCTATATATCACTGTTGTATCATTCTTATTTTCTTTCTTGCCGTGCTTATTGCATAGCATTGAGTACTTTTTTTGTTCACTACATATTGTGCGACTTCGCTTCGTGTCTATTTCTGACTGAACCTTGAACAAATCACCGAATGAATAACTTTGATTCCAAGGTTCTTATATCTTTTTCCCCCTTGGTGATGTTCAATGGTTGACTGCATACGCATCTGCACTTTTCCTCCCTGTTTTGTTTGATATACCTTCCCGGCGTTTTTTGGCCAATTCATGCAATGTACCGCTACTCTGGTAATGATCTGTGATTCCCTACACATGACTGGAAAATAGCCCTCAGGTCCATCGTGATCTTGTTCATATATGGGTGGTTTCTTCCCTAATTTCATACTCCTTATTTCTTTAATCCGCCTGTAGTACATGTATCACCATTTGTTGTAGATGCTTTCAATTCTCACATAGGTACATTCTTGCCATATTCGTCTCTTGATACAGGCAACCAAGCAGCCTCAAATTACCCATCCTTCCACTTGGCCCTCCTTAGGACAAAGCTCACAAGCCACCTTCAAACTCATTCCATGGGCGGTATCAAAGCTTTCCTCCTCCCCGACACAAATCAGGTAAGCCATGCGAGCATACCGTTCCACCTGCATCGCCCTCTCAGGCGCAACCTCAAGCAAAGACCTGCGGAGGAGAAGCAACGCAACAACAATATCATCCATGGGGAGCCCCCATTTCTTAACAACAAGCGGCCCCTCCACACCATCCTCCAACCCAGATCCCTCAAGCACAAATCCAACTGCTGCAAGAGCCCGATTCACAGCCTCCCCGGCTTCTTCCGGCCGCTTTTGTCTTTCATAAACCCCAGCAATCAAAATAAGCGGCTCCCACAATCCAAGTCGCAGCACCTGCTCCAGCGGATGCGGATACGTCTCAGCCAGACGCTCAATAAGCGTCTCAGCCCGCGTTAGGCTAGGCCCATTCGAGCCGTTTTCCAGTGCCATAGCGATCTGCGCACGCTGCCTGACCCGTGTCTCGAGAACGCGCGGCTCAGTCACACTGACGTCGGCGCATATGGCACAACAACACTCGAAGCCCCAGTGGCGGAAGTCCATGGGCTGGTGTTCAGGGGCGGGGAGCAGATACCAGATTTTCAACTCGGTGTTTGCGGGGATATCGACAGCTGCGCGGATGATCATCATGTCGCCGATGAAGGCGCGGTGTGCGTTGCTCATGCATGAGTGGTTGATTGCTGAGGCGTAAGGCCAGATGCCACAGTTGTGCAGCGCGTCAGGGTTCCTGCTTGCATCGCACGCGTCGTGGATATGGTCTGCTCCCGAAGAGGTCGGGCTGCCAAAGCTGTTGAGGGAGATTATGCAAGCAATTTGGAATCTGCGGGTTAGGAAGGGTGATTGGTTAGCTCGAGATGTTTAAGATGGAGTGGTTTGTTTCTTGTTTACGTGTCTATCACCGGCTTGCCATCAACGGGGCCCGTTGAGACCTGCTTGGATCCGCTACTGTGGAGGTCAGTCACTGCTGGTGCTAATGATGGGTTCTTGTACAGCGTTTCAATGATCGACGATGCGAGCGCAGCTTGGCCTCCACGGGTGATCGTCCGGGTTTCGGTGTTGATATGGAGGGTGCTGCTCCACCTTGGTCTGCTAGGATGCTCGGTTGCATATGCAAAGGCTTTCTCGCAGAGAAGTAAATCACCAGCCTTGACTGCCTCAGTTGTGAATAGGCCTCGTCCTTGGGACTTGGTTTGCCGGACTGTCACTGGGCCAATCCATGCCGCATGGTCCAATAGTGGCGGGTAGGTTTTCGACGCTTTCTCTTGCATCTTCTTGAATTTGTATCCGCCCTTCTTTTGCTCTGCAAAGCGTGCAATGGCTTCTCGAAAATCATTCCTGGCACCGACGTCTTCTGGGTGTTTCTTGCAGAGTTTCGTGAATACATCGCAGCTTTCTCGGAACCTTTTCAGACGGTACAGGGTTTGGGCTTTGCCCCTAAGAGCTTTCTCGGATTCTGGGCCTGCTGGAACGGCGTCGAGATCACGCAAAGATGCATCCCACTCATCGACCTGGAAGAAGGCCAGGCCCCGGTAGTACAGAAGGTAATGCGTCTCCTCCTCTGTCGGCGAACACTCCAATGCTTTGGAGTAACTGTCATTCTGGTCAGCATTGTTCGCTGTCAAACAATCTACTGGGACTTTACTATTCAGTGGCAGAATAGAATTTTCCCCGGTTGAGATACTCGGTACCCATGCTTAGCCAATCCCCGGCCATCCACTGAGATGTTTCATCCTCTGGGAGCCGCTCTCGCCAAGCTGATGGAACCATCTTGTCGGACATTGAGATGAACATGATATCAGAAACGTGATCAACTTTGACTCCGTATTCGGCATCGAACGTCAAAGTCAAGTAAGGCTCCTTCACAAGCAAAATCTGTCCTTTATCAACAGAGCCATCTTGGCAGCGGAGCTTCTCGTTCAACATTTGGAGCGGGATCGCATGATTCTGTTCGTCTTCCACGATGACTGTAATCGCAGCCACCTTGTCTGCCTGGGTGATTGATCTGAGCAGAATGTAAGAGCCCCTGTGATGAGTTTCAAGAAGCAAATCTTTCACCATAATCTTGTTCAGGCCTTTCAACGGAGCGAGACACGGTGGATAGATGGGAGGGGCAAAAGAGACATCCACCGTGTTGGCACTACCTCGGCCGCGTGATTGGCTTTTGCTCGCCTTCTTCCGACTCTTGAATCGTTGCAAGAGTTCATCGCGTGTCATTGTTGGCTTGAATTGCATGCCCTTGAGAGCCTCGGCGGTTTCAAGGGCCCGGCTATGCTCGTTCAAGAGCTTCTCGCTCTCTGGGTCCTGGAGAAACCTGTCCATCTTTGAAGTCTTTACTTCCTTTTGGGGAGTTAGTCTACTGATGGGATAAACAACTGATGAAGCTTGATGCCTACCGAGATATCGAGGATAGATTCGATCAAAATGAGTGATGAAGCAAAGTGATTAGGTGAAGTGAACAGCGAGAGAGCAAAGCACCAAGGCACGTGGATAACAAATTTAGGTAAACATCGGAATCTCTTACTCTAAATTAGCAACTGTGACCTTCGAATGCTCTAACTGGGATGATACAACCTAGTTTGTGCACATAGTGTTTATACCATGTCAGAAATTTGCCTAGATCAGGCTATGGAGTGAAATAAGAGCCTGTCTGCCCATATCCATGAGGCTATACTAAAAGATGCCTTGAGTAATTTAGTTTAAGCACAAAGTACGTGGATCCCTTATAGAAGAGGTCATATAGCTGTTTTATGATGAGCGATGGCTACATATAAGCAGTCTTTTATCTTTTTATTCCAGTATCTAACTACATAACAATCCAGATAATTATTGTCGAAGAGTTTTATTGCACTCGACATGAGAATTGGGACTACAAGGTACAGCAATCAGCTGAGCAAGACAGCCCTCTTTCCATGTATGATAGCCTCATATAATGCTCTAGATATTCACAGGTAAGAACATTAGTCTATCATAGCTTGTGGTATTTAGTATTTGGCTTTGTTCATGGCATCTGTTTGATTCCCTTTATCTCACCATGCTGCCTTCCATAACAGTTCTTTCATTTTTTTTAACATCTTGCAGAGCATATGGTCTACACAGCATACTCTTCCAAGTAACTGGCATTAGCTCAACATATTTTTACTCCCAATAAATATCTTGACCTTGTGCCTCAGACCTTGTACATAACCTGTGGACAGTTATCTCTTTCACAGTGAATCATATAAACAAAATTATATGGAGTAAATAGGGTAGCAACATAGAAATTCTCAATCTAGCCCACTTTTGCTTCCATGTCACTGCGCTATACAGCCTGGCTTTATTCACTATACTCTATCAAAGGGAATTACTTCATCACTGCGCAATGCCCATTTGTATATGGATTTCCAACCTTTCAGTTCTGGGACATGTTCTAGAGTTCTCGAACATCTCACTCAACCGTACAGGTTTGCCATATGATAACAAAAGTCATCCTGGTTAGTCTCATACTACAAAGCTCAGTTCAGAGTTCACACCACAATCAACCGATCGCCCTTTCACGGTTCACAGAGAGAAGATCCAACCAGCAGCGAGCGCAAACAGACATTCTACCTCGACCATTTCAACACAAAATAAAGCTTTTAACGCAGACGGCAATTAGCCTCGTGTGGCATTCACAGCTTGTTCAATATGTGTCTATTTGTTGAGACCAACTACAATTGCAAGCATACATACTTCGAGCTCTACCTCTTTTGCCGCGAAATCTTCCATCAACTGAACCGTATCAACGATCCGGAGCAGCTTAGAGACTACGCTTTGCCCTTTGACCCCGATTGTCCTACCTGCCAGCCATACACAATCACCTTGAGGCCAACCACCCTTCCGGATGTTGGTTGTCTGAATGTAATGTTGGAGAGTAATATTGTGCACAAGATAATGGATATGGTGGAGAGCTGTCCTGATTGTAATACCAAGGCATTGTGATTTGGATTTGTGCTTTTGTTATGATATGGGTTGGAGATAAACATGTTTGGCGATGAAGTGACATGTATGTCTATTGAAGATTTACTAGGCAATATTGAAGGCACAGGAGAGAATACCACCCAAAATACCAACGCTTATTTCTAATAGGTATAGTATCAGCTATAAACGGATGTTCAAGTAAATGAAAGTTTTGAATTGCGTATAAGTATGTATGATGATGAAACCCCGAAATATTCACAGTGTGGCCTAATACAGAAATCAATACAATATGAAAAGTGTCGAGTGACGACTATCGTTTAGTGAGCAGCACCACATCCACAATCATCGGCTGATCGCTTCCTGAAGTCTCCATGGTAAGTGTCTAGTCCATCGGTATGGAAGTTCAATCCCAGGCGGTCACCCATCCAGTCGTATGATTGCAAGGCTCCAGACTTGGTGTCTTGTAGCATCTTCGTGACATTTTCGACATTGAGATCAAGGTAGTCAGCGAGGAAGTTTCCGACGTCGGTGTTCTCGTGGTTGCCAACCAATGGCCAAGCGTCCTTGCTAGACGACACGTAGATGTTGACGTCAACAGCTATAACAAAATTAGCATACTATCATAGGTCACTGCTCGAGACTATCTTACCAGAATGTCCATGAGTACTCCAGCCGACCTGGGCGCGGCGGCTGATCATATCTGCGAACACATACGCCGTGGTGACTTGGGGGTCTGGGTGGAGCAAGGCATCTACTTCTTTGTCTGTAGCATCATCGATACCAAGCCCATCCTTCAGAAGGGTTTGCCGGACCCAAGCCTGCTTAGTCGAATCCTTGGCGTCCTTGCCCGGCCCAGAATTATATTCCTTTAGTCGAGCGGCAAGGTATTCGCCAGAGTGGCTTGCCTTGTCCAGGACATTCGGAAGCCACAAGTACTCGGGGTAGCTCTTGTGCAGCTGTCGTGCTGCGGCAAGACCACCGGTCTCGTGGTCGGATGTGCTCACAATCACGCCAGGAGTTGAGTCATTCTCTAGGAACTCGAGCGCGGCAGCAAATGCTCTGTCATATGCCAGTACCTCGTGAACCTGGGCGGCAGGATCATTGCCATGGCCGGCATGGTCGATTCGAGAGCCCTCGATTAGGACGAAGAACCCTTGCTCACTGTCCTCGGTGGCCTTACTCAAGGCCTTCAAGGCAGTGCGAGTCATCTCCTCCAAAGAGGGATAGGTCTCATTTTGAGTACGTCGATCAATCTCGTACGGGATATCCCCGTGAGCGAAGAGGCCTAGTAGCGGTAAAGTGGCATTATCGCCGCCCTTGAGGCTATCGAAGCCTGCACGGTCATTGATATAATCAAATCCATTCTGAGAAGCAACCTTGATCAAATCGTGATCATCACCACGGCAGCTGCCAGCCTGTGAGTTGGGCAAAAAATGGCACCGTCCACCACCAAGCAGAAGATCTACGACCCGGCCGAGAGGGTGTTCTCCAACCTCTTGGGCGGCAATCAAATCTTCATAGTTCCGCATGTTGGCATGCGCGGCGAAGCATGCTGGAGTCGCATCTGTCAGGCGGGTAGTTACAACCAGGCCAGTCTTATAGCCCGCCAACGCAGCCGCCTCGAGCACGGTCCCACAAGGCGAGTGGTCGGGAAGCACTGAGATGGCAGAATTGTAACTCTTGCGACCGCACGAAAAAGCGGTTGCTCCAGCTGCAGAGTCTGTCACCAAGCTAGAGCTTGACCGTGTGCGCGAAGTTCCAATGTAATGCTTGTCCAAGACCAGAATGTCATCGAATGGCAGATCATGCGTGTATTGCCGGAAGCTTCGAGTCAGCGAGAGACTAGTAGGCCCCATACCATCAGAAACCATGAATATCATGTTCCGCTTGCCCGTCGGCTTGCCCCCAGGGCCCCAGGTTGTGTTTGACCCATGATGGGGTTGAGGCTCCGCTAACTTGTGTGGGTAAAGCACAGCCAGCACAATCACCAAGATTGTTGCAATGACGGCCCAGGAAAACACTCCAATTTCCCGCCAGGAAGGCCAGACTCGTCGGTTATTTTCAGTGGCCGTTCGCTCACCGGTTAGGAGAGCGTACTCCTCCTCTTCATTTCGGATCGACGAGCCGTCGTCAGAGGACACGCGAGGAGCTAGGAGGGACTCTTCCCGCGCCATAGCTGTAAAGACAGAATCGGAATAAGTAATAGAATCGGGCTGACCTCGGTACGATATACTGGGGAAAGGTGGGGACAGATCGGCAAGGTCGAGAGCTTCGATTGCGACCTTACCAGGTTGTTATGACCCTGAGTGACCCTGAGCCGTGGGGGCGGAGTTCGGGAGATAAGGATAAGATAACAGGGCTCACATGATACGTCCCGAGGTCACGTTCCTGCATCATGTAACTATGCAACCTGTAAGAACTACATCTACCCTTTTGTACAACCGGGGAATGCAGGGAGAAGAATTGTTTCGTTTTGAATCGGCCTAGGCTATATACGCAAATTATCTATATAATACATACCATTCCCAAGATAACCTATAACACCCTAGAGAGGTCTAGCCTTCCACCCAATAGGAATCATGGCAGCGGCAATCTCAGCTACACCACGCTCTGTAGCAAGCAAATTGAACTGCGCAGCCGCATTTCGGGTATCGAGTATATCCACCCGAATTCCCAACGAGTTGATGTGACGCTTAGTTTCAGGTGAGAGCGGGAACATCGAGCCACCAAGACCAAGAATGAGCATATCTGTGGCGGAACTGTTAGAAAATCCAAGGGCGAGTTTGCGATCAGGCTCAAATATGTCATATCCGTGGATGGAAGCACATATCCGGGATCAAAAAAGCAAGAAGAGCGAACATACCAGGCTTTGGCCAGACAAGACTCAACAACCCCCAGACTGACTCATCAAGCTCAAACTGCCCTTTAGAATTGAGCATGGCATCCTTGGCTACACGATCGCTCTCTGCGCCCTCGACAGCCTTCCACGGCCGCCACGCAAATGCCTCACCGCCGACCAGCAGCAGCCCATCGCCGTTGGTAAGCTTGACACCATTGTTAAGATGGAACCCAGAATCGAGGCATGCATCAATGGCCGTCGTTGGCGCAGGGATGTTGCCCAACACGTTCAATGCATCAAAGTTTGTCTGAGTGTCTTCTTTGGACTCTGGGCCGCGGTCGCGGCTGACGGGTTTGTGCGCGTGCGAGCGAGGAATCATGCGGGTTGGTCGTATAGGTGAGCTATAGTTGCGGTGTGTTGAGGGTGTTTTGGTGCTGGGATTTGAGACGAGGCATGGTGCTGCAGTTGCTGATGGGATCTGGCAGAATCGAGTCAAGTTCGAGGTGCGACGGGTGTTGACTAGGGAGGTGCGCAGGACACGCAA